GACATGATAGATAGTAACACATTTTTTTTATTTACATAGACCTGTTGTAATTCTTGTTCATCTACTTTTTACTTATATAAATTGTCTACAACTCATTGTTTAAGTTTAAGTAGTAGTCATGGGTTATAACTGAATGTCAGTATTTAACTCGTCGAGTACCGGTTTTGTAGACACAATTATAGAACAATAGGTTGCGGTCACCGGTGACCGCTTGGTGTTTGACAGTTTAATATGGAGCCGTCTGCCTACCACAACTTGCTAGGGGTGATAACTATTAACAATAAGAGGGGTGACACTACAATCATTATGTTATTGTATTCACTGCATTATCTTTTTAGTCACACTACAATTTACAGTGCCTTTTATGAAATGAAGTAATATTTATTTCTGCAAATGGGTTACAAAGTAACACTTTTACATGTCAATCTTTAAATTACTAGATAAGGGCCAGCTTTACTTTAGCTGGTGCAACACAATACATATAAACATAATCTAAAGAGTGTACTTAATCATTATAAGGATAAAAAGAATAAAAATAAAGACAAAATCTAGTTATGGTACTAACTACTTTTCATTTGTTAACATTATTCTTGGGGAATTTCTTCACAGTGATATTATAATTGTTTACTGATGTCTCTTATTTTCCCTGTTTCTAGAAAATTCCTTTATTATTAATGTGATTTTAAAAATATTTTAGTTCAATACATCATGAATGTTATTTAGAATTGTTACATCATTATCTAATTATTACATTAAAAATTAACCCGTTGATATCCATCCCCTAAATTTGGTCATACAAAAGTATTCTCTAAACATTAGAAATAAGGTCTATAATGTAATGTAATTAGTGGAAAGCGGTCACCGGTGACCGCTTGGGGATTTATGGGTTAAACAAAAATAGAAACAAACGTTTCCTCAAGAAGTGCTGCAGTGGACACACAAATATTATAAAGGATGCGACATAGGGCCCTACCCTAAACACACCTTTATTGATAGACAAAATAAATCAGTTGCCAGTGGCACTATAGGCCTACTGCTTAATGCCCCTCTGGTGACAGATCACACAATAAAAGTATCAATGATTTATAGCCACAAAATGGAAAACAATGTAACATTGTTTTTATCTACAACTTGCGGTTAAGACTGTGACCTATCACTGCATCAATTAATTTAATAAATACATAACTAGTACAATTCCAGTGCATACATACATACATAACTTCACGCCTGTCTCCCATGGGGGTAGGCAGGGACTATGGAACTACAATTACTACGATACCTACACACCTCTTTTGTTTCATCAACAGTCATCAATCATTTCCAGTCCAATTGAATTGAATTGGTATTTTAAAATTATCTTTGCAATAAAACAAACAGAATCAGATAATGATGACAGGAAATATAGAGTAATTTGTAAATAAAAGGCAGATTAAAGACTACATAAAGTAATAAGGAAAGTGATAGGTACTAACCTTCTGCAATTTTCACAAAAGTAGCCTTAGGCAGGCTGGGATCTTCCTTGATGACGATTTTCTTAGCTTCCTCCAAGTTTTGCTGTCTTTTATCATTGGTTTCTTCGTCGGCTTTGGCCTTATCTGCCGCTTTGTAGCTCTCCCTTACCCAGATCTTGTGAATTTTCTTCAGCTGAGATTTTGCCGCAACTTCATACACTTTAGTGTCATCCTTTGCGTCAACATAAATTGTAGGGAACGGCTCTTTGCCTGCATGCCGCATTGCCTGCAAAATCGTCTTGAACGGCTTGGCTTCAGATCCATCGCCAGTCTCGTCACTGCCTTTCTTATCCGATGTGTAAATTTCTCCTAGAAATAGTGAAAGATATTGCTTACGTGTGCTTATAGGTTATAATTAAAATATGGATCGCTCAGATTAAAAACTTACCTATTGATAGATTTTCCATTGTAATGGTTATCAATTTATTTTAAGGTTAGTATTCTAGGTATTACTTAATTCACTGGGAATCACAACACAAACACTACCGAGCGTAGTTTATATATTATTCGTGTTATCTTTCTTTCTAACTGCAGTGATGAAACTTATAAGAAACTTCACTCATTGCTCACGTCACTTCACGGTACACATGCGCTGTCTGAGGCCTTAGTACGGGTTTGTTTTACGTTTAAAGTAATCGTAACGAGTACGCTTTCGGCGCTGTGATTGGTTGCTTCATTGGCGCCGGCCAATCAGAGTGCCGAACGCGTACTCGTTTCGAATACTTTAAACGTAAATCAAACTCGTACTAAGGCCTCTGGACATCTCGGGGTTGCTAGATCTAAAATGAAATCTACTCACTAACTTATAAAAAAGTTGGGATGATGCAGGATTACAGGTTCAAGGTGATTAAAATAGGTATAATTTCTTTTCTTAAAAATATCTGATGAAGTTTTCTTTAACTGGCAGTGTTATTAATAGAGTTATATAAAAAACGCATAAAAGCGAAAATAAGAATAAATATATCTTTGAGACTAAAAATACGTTTCAACAAAATATGAAATTTCAATAGTATTGTGTAACAATAATTTTTTGCTATTCCGTTTCTTATGATAGAACTGTAGTGGGACCTACTCTAATTGTTGACGCATCAATATTGTTCACACTGTACTTGCATTGGTTCGCCTCTCCAGTTGTCCCGTATATCGCACTACAGATGCACGCTACTAAATATTGTAACCGTACTAAATTGTATGTAACCTTAATTGGAGTCAGAAATTAAAAGTGTATTAATTAGTATTCGATTTATTTACCTCTCTCTGGACACGACCCCTCACCATCTAAAGAACCTAGAAAATGGGTAATATTTTTACTTGGCAACTGTAGTGCTATTTTATTGACAGCTGGTCAAAACAGATGTTTCTGTACTTTCTTGAGTTCTTGACCATTGGAAAAATTCTAATCCCAGTGTTGCCAGCTATAATGTACAAGCAGTTAAGAAGGTGGGTGAGTTTTCATAGACTTTGTAGGGTATGTTAACTATTAAAACATTTCTTGCGTCTTTTATGTTATACTTTCCAAGGGATTTCTGCTGCGTCAAAGATTTTCCAAATCTATGATTTTTTTGAGATCCATAATGGATATTCCAAAAATAAATAAGTACGTAGGTGGGCAGGAAGTAGGTATTTTAATAATTACAAGGTAATATTAACTTAAGGAAAAATGTTAAAATTACTGTAAAGTACCTGAAGTAGAATCGCATATACCTACTTAGATAGTTGGGTAGGGTAAACTTTCGTACTTTACTCTTTGAGTAAGGCTGATTCAGTGGAAACAGTGTTAGCGGAATAGAGAAGAATTAGCTTAAAATAATATTTTAAGCTGAATTAGCTTAAAATTATATTATGTTTTATTGTAATTATTGTACACCACACAATTACATTACATAGAACAATACCAATAATAAAACCGCCCATTGAGTAGGTAATGGGCGGTTTTATCGCAGAAGGCGGTTTCTTGCAGGCAACCTTCGGATGAAGCAGTCACAGCAGTCTGATATTTTACTCTAAAATGTATGTTGCGTGGTGGACAGCAGGGCTATGCGGTGTCGAGCTTAGTGGGGCTGTGCCGAGTAGAGCAGAGCTTTGAGGTCGAGCATAGTAGGTTTGTGCCGGGTGGAGTGAAACTGCAGTGTCGAGCTATGTGGAACTATGCTGTGCTGGAAAACAAAAGGTATTGACAGCCCTGTTCAACTCATCTTCGCTCCACTTACCCAGCTACACAGCTCAGCTCTGCGCTGCTTTACAGGAAGCACCTACCGTTTCACACGGCACTGCTCAACCCTACTTCACGCGGCTCCGTGCTGTGGAAATGCACCCTAAGAATATTAATTTATGACACATTTTACACATGTGATGTCACTGTTAAAAGACAGTTACATGTAACATGAATCATTACCCCTTGTAGGTATATCATTTTATGTAAATAATGTAGACGATTGTATTGACTCAATACGTAAATATTTAATTAAGCAACGGTAAACGAACTGTTTCTGGATAATTAGTTATTTAGGTGGTTCTAAATTGTCGCTCATGTTTAAAATAAACATACCTACCTAATACCTACTTAATAAAAGCATTGGAAATTTTCCTGGTGGACTTTTTACGGCATAGGGCCGCAAATAGGTAGAAGAATCACCTAACACCACCCCTGGCGCCGTCCATGGACACTTGCAACACTAAAGGAGTTATAGTACGTTGCCAGTCATCGGGACTGCGAATTAAGGTATTGAGGACTTGGGGAATGAGGTTAGGGGAATGAGCCTCTGATAACCACACTCATACGACGAAACACAATGCGATTACTTATATTAACCGTTAGATGATCCGTGTGCTCGTTGGTCGGCTTATCCCATGTTAAGTGTGGGAGAGCCATGCTTCGGCACGAACGGGCCGGCTCGACCGGAGTGATACCACGGCTTCAGAGAAAACCGACGTGAAGCAACGCTTGCGTTGTGTTTCGTCGTGTGAGTGAGGTTACCGGAAGCCCAATTACCCTCCGCTCCGACCCTTCCCCAGTCCCTAAATTTCCAAAAATCCTCAAATTCCTAATCCAAAAAGGCCGGTATCGCACTTGCAACGTCCCTGGTGTTCCAGGTGTCCAAGGGCGACGCCGATTGGTTAACATCAAGTAATCCGCCCGCTAGTTTACTGGCTTATACAATAAAAAAAAATAAAAAAAATGTGGCTAAAGAAAAAATAAAAATTAAAAGAGGTAAAACTCGTTTTTCATAATTTTGGAAACCGTAAAATGCAAACGGAGACCTTGTGATCCACATTAGTGCGCTACAACTGACTATAATTGATGTATTTGTATCATTACCCTTCCGGTTGTGTATTTATTGTGGGTTTATTAGGTACGCAGTCGTATTTTTTTCGATCCATATAAATAGAAGATACATGCATTCGATGTCACATTCCCCGTGCTAATACGGGTGACTGGCTAACTGTTTAAAAAAAACTTCGATTTAAAAAAGGAACTGAAATATCCTATATCTTTCATACAAACCGCAACATCTTTAAATCTATCAGACTATTTGCAGCGATCGCATTTTGTCCCCAGGTGTGGTACGCCAAGGATAACAATTAACAACATATAATTGCAAATATTACAAAATAAGATGCCGGTACCTACTCAGACAGCTTTCACAGCGCAGACAAATTGGAATCACATAGAGAAATGGTGAGTGGTAGAATCACAATATCGTGTAAAATACTTACTTATATCGATAACTTCCTTCTCTCCCTCTTCACGTATTAATCTAATCAATTATTTCCAGGGACTGTTCTGCTTACCAACGTGTCTGCAGTAAAAAGGATGACGTCACTACTGACCTCTTTTCACGACAAAGAAGCATGACGTTACATACATTGAAGTTTGTTCCACATTTTCAAGTGGACCAACAAGTTAGTATTTTTACGGGTACATCTTGAGACATAATATTTGTTCATACAAAAATAGTCTGTCAATCTATTTTTGTTCATCGTTCATAGCCTATATACCTACTTAAGATGTTCTAAACATCGGAAATAAGGTCTATAGTGGACTAAGCAGAGTGAGGACACCGGTGTCCGATCGGAGGGATTTTGAAGTGCTACTGCCACCTGGAGGTAATAATTATCAACAACCCGTGATAGTACTACTAGATTATGGGCTTTCCTTTACTTAAACTGTCAAACGACAAGCGGTCACCGGTGACCGCAACCTATTGGTCTATAATGACGGTACTCAACGAGTTAAAGGGTTTTATACTTACTCCAAGTTTGGTTGGCAGTTACCTCAGCCTCAGTAGCACCATATCTACAACACCGGAGATATCACAAAAGTCTAGATCACACAAAATCTAAACGTGGTAGACACACTTTTTCGAATTCTCTTTTGTTTCAGAAGGTACCAAATCTCCGCACAACTGATAGTATTATTTTTAAACAAAAATTTATTCTTCTAGGTTTCAACATCACTGCAAGTTTACCTTCAAATTGTCGCTGAGAACATGAATAAGAACTCGATCAAAGTGGTCGGCATTAACAACAGTCATCTAAACAGTTCTGTGTTCCATGAAATGAAGAAAATTGGTTCTTATTTGCATGGAATTAAAGTTCTTTACGAAGAATTCAATGAATCAGATCTCAACTCCTCAATAAATGGTATTGGCAGGTTTCTTAAGAATGCTGACCTTGCTATCGTCCGTAATTTGTCCACTGATGAAAATGTAAGTACATAATGGTTTAGCTATTAGAACAGCATTTTTCATGTTTTTATAATAACTATCGTGAGACATACCAAATTAAGTAAAATTTCGGGTTACTCTCGTGAATATACTGAGAAAAGCTCTTCTAGTTTCGAACCACAGAGGGGTTCGTCCTCATGAGCAACATGAGGTTTTAGTTAATTTAGCATTTTTCATATTTTTATGGATACAATGCCATCATTCGATGTAAGTAGGTAGTGATTGTAAGACAGATTTCGTATCTAGAACTTTAATGTGCTTTTAGAATAACGTTCAATAATTAATCAGCTCATTTCCTTTACCTGCTCTTCTTCTAAAGTTTACATAACACGATTTTAATTGCCAACAGATGTGTCAACTGCTACACTTCACGGTTCAACGAAACTGCTTCATAGTGAGCGAAGAGGACAATCTGTTCGGTGGTCGAACCCGTCCGAAGTCATTGTATCATACTGTCTGTGCTCATACTAATGCGCACACACGGCTGGACCTGGTGCGTTGGCGTCCGACCATGGAAGCAATGCCTACGACTGCTATCACAGTGCCCCAAAACCTCGATCTCTCTCTTCTCTCTGTTGCACGAGCAAACATCCCATCACAACATCGTCTCCTCATAGTATGTCCCCACCCAGCCCCTCACAGCCTCAAAAGGCACATCCAAAATTGGAGAAAGGACGCGGAACGTAACAACGTGTATTTATTAACTGTCAATAAAAAAGAAGAAAACAATTTCTTTATAGACGACCTACCGGACATCGATTTGGCTTTTACCGTTTTTGATCACGTAAGTAAACTTTGAGATATGGTTGTGACTGAACAGATTATAAGATTCAGTTCTTGTGTATCCAGTGAGCCTTTTTCTGCTTTGAAATTAACAATGTTTGATTTTAGGGTAACTGGGGTGGAGAATATTATGTACCAGTGCAGGATAATGCGAGAGTGTTCAGTAATGTGACGTTACAAAGTACACAAGTAGGAGATGTCAGTTCCTTGGAGTGGGTCCCCGCATCCAACTCGTTTGAAACTGGAATTCCCGTAACCGTACGTACTATACTACATAATAAATAGTGAAAAAGAGGGTGTTACATAACAGTCGCAAAAGCGCCGTAATGTGTTAAATTTTTGCCAATAAAGTATTATTTATTTATTTAAAAAATGTGCACCTCTGCCTACCCTTTCGGGGACAAAAGGCGTGATGTTATGTTATGTAATGAAAACAAAATAGATCTGTTGGTAATATCTTATATTGTTTTATTTTAGGTTCACTACGCTGGTTTAACCAGCACTGATTACAAAAAAGCTGCTGGAGCCAAATCCGCAAAACATAAAAAAGAAAACAGTTATGGCATGGATTTTAGTGGAGTAACTGAGAGGTATGCATTTAATTAATCATTTAGGACATATCCTAATCTAAATACATAACGTAGGTAAGTAAGTTGTAACGAGATGTTACGAAAGCAATATGAGGATAATTTTCATTTGCTAGATAAAACTTAGCAATACGAATAATTAGTTTAGTTTTGGTCACGAAGTAAAACAATGCTAAAATGAATCTTTCCGATGCTAGCGGTGAGCGCGTGATGGGTCTGGTCCCGCACGGCGCGGCGAGCAGCGTGGTGCACGCGCGGCCGGAGCTGCTGTGGCCGGTGCCCGCGCACTGGACGCTCGAGGACGCCGCCACCGTGCCGCTCGCATACGCACATGCACTCTACTGCTTGGTGAGTGACTAACATTACCTTTACCACACACATCCGTGTCCCATAGAACTAGGCGGACGACCGCAGCTACAAAGCGCTATCTGCTATGATCCAGCTTAGTTTCTATTATTACTTTGTGGGGCTTTATGATTTTCCAACATCCAGTAAGGAAACTAAGCACACTGCTACTACTTCTGATCCGCATATACATGTGTCGTTAACTTCTGTATTTGTTTTATTCCAGGGCATTAAAAAGTCAGCAGATTTATCACCTGAAACAACTGTGTTTGTGCACAGAGGAGACGGGACCTTTGGCCAAGCAGCTATATCCATCGCGCTCGGACACGGCTGTCGAGTATACACGACAGTCACTCACAGGAGAAACAAGTATTTCTTAATGAAGCTGTTCCCGGAATTACAAGGTATTTTGTTTCTTTAGTACCTACGCTTACTTATTTTGTTAATAAATATGTTATATACTTTCACATTTTATTTAGCACTACTAAATAGCACCTAGGTTTGGGTACAGATGATTTTATTTACTTTATCTGTAGCTGTGGTCGTTCCACTACAGGGTAAAGACCTCATTCCACTCCTCTCTACGCTCTACACCTCATTTCACTCTCTCTCTCTCGTTTGTTTCCAGCCGACCACATCGGCAGTTTAAGAGACCGTAATTTCATAAATACGGTCTTGAACGACACCAAAGGAAACGGCTGTGATATTGTACTGAGTTGCGTTAAAGGAGATATGAGAAAAGTAAGCATACAATACAGAGAGTCCCTGAAGTCGAAATTTAAAAACTATGTGACTTAGAATTTTTATGATATTTTTCTGATAACTGTTGGAACCTTGCCGATCACCTGCCATTTGATCGTCGACTTTAGGGACACCCTGTGAAATAGAATCATAAGACTACTCGGTTCGGGAATGAAGTAATCAATTGACAAACAGTATGGCAGTGTTCTTTAAAGACGACATAAAAATAAAATGAAATTATTAATTTACTTGCACAATGTAACGTTGAATCTTTTCAATTTTCAGACTTCAATACTTTGTTGTGGAATGGATGACATTTGCTTGGACTTTTCTCAACTCCACAACCCTAATGAAGACAATACTTGCGCAGTATTCAATCTCAAGAGGACGAGGTCTTATTCTGTGATTGATTTCACATCAATGCTTGCCAATGATAATACTGTAGAGAAGAAGGTAAGTTCTCATTGTATTACGAACCAAAGTTGGTCTAAGTTCACTATTGTCTGCTTTGTTTACGTGTCATTAAGTATTAAAATTGCATTGAACGCTATCGACGAAAAGTTATTTATTCAATTGCTTCGACTATTATGCATTTAATCAAGAATGGGTCTACGTAAAATTAATAGCAGATGGACTGCAGCTGCTATTTTCTGAACAAATTAATTTGATCGTTTCTATTATTTTTATTATATTTGAGTTTAAAAATGTATAATATCTCATAGGTGTTACAACAAATGTTGAGCGAAGGTATACACAAGGGCTACGTGCGCCCGTCGCCGCGCGTGTCGTACGCCCCGCACGACGTGTCGCGCGCGGTCCGCCAGCTGGCAGGCGGCAGGCGGCGCGCCTGTGTACTATTGAAAATGCAAGAACCAACACTTCAAACACAGCTCAGGTAGGAATCTCCCTAATACTCAAACCATTAGTCCTCCAACCCCTAACTCCAAAGGGCCAGCCACGCATTTGAAACTCCTCAGGTGTCTCGGGTGTCCATGGGTGGCACTGACCTTGAAGTAATCCGTCTCTTCATTTGCCGATCTATTAATGTTGTTTCGGAACATTACTTGAATGTCAAGTCTTATTTCAGACTTTCATGTAACCCACATCGAAGTCAACTCATAATTTTAAGTGAAGAACGACTTGGACTTGAATTAGTTGACATGCTGGTGGCACGAGGTGCTAGGAGACTGCATATTCACACGAAAACTCACACGTCTGCAACGTTCCAATTCAAACTAAGGTAAAGATTACTTAGGTATAGGTACATACTTTCTTCTTTCCACCTATTGTAATGTTACTATATAACTATCACAATTAATTTTTTAATGCCTTGGACATGTCAAAAGCTTTGATTCTAGCAATTATAATGCATTTTTTTAAAGATAACCAATGTATTGTTTCAAATAATCCCTTTGCCTTTAGGATGTTGGAGAAGATGGGTGTTGAAGTTCAAACATCATCAGATAACTTGGAACATGAGAGTGATGTAGTGTTACTACTTACTGACGCTGTCAGCATGGGTCCGGTACAGAGTATATACGTGGTCACCAATGATGATGACAAGTTCGAAGAAAGAGTTCTGGCTCATCTAGATACAGTGTCCAGGACATTTTGCCGTAACTTGAGGTGAGATTCCAGTATTAACTCTAGGTCGATTAGTTTCTACTTAAACTGTCAAACACCAAGCGGTCACCGGTGACCGCAACCTATTGTTCTATAATTGTGTCTACAAAACCGGTACTCGACGAGTTAATAAGTTTCAGATATTATTCACCCAGGTGGAAAGCAATGTCATTTGTTTTTGTGTCTTCATTGGTTCAGAGTATGTTTATAAAAAGTTTTTATTATTATGTTTTAGATATTTTGCCTTCATCAATATTGGGAAGACAGTGTATGGAAGGGAAACATATTCAAAACGCTATCAATATAAGTTACCAGCCAAAACAATATCTCTGCCTTATGCTATTAATGTAAGTATTTCGACATTAGGCACATCATATATCTTCGACCCAAAAACAAAATTAGTACAACAGTTTAGCGATCAAGAACATAAAAAGAAACTATTATTTGCATGATTGAAATGAACGAATGGCGGGATTTATAAAGTTAAGTTTATGAATGGAGTTTATTTTGCAGGATATAACTGTTAACGATGCAATGGGTGCTTTGGAAGCTGCACTATGTAGTGATCACACAGTGATTGTAGCTCATGAAGAAGAATTACACTACCGCAATGAAGTGGAAAAGAAAGTTGCAGAATTGAAATGTACGTAAATTTTAAGTTATTAAATTGAAATTAAGTTTATAATATTTATACCCAAAAGTTGCTGAACACCCCAATCAAGATAGACAGTGATAAAAAGGAAAATACAAAATTATTGATAGTCCGACAAATAAAGTAGTGACGCGCGCCTCCAAGAGCCATTAGATCACCACGGACGGGGTCGAATAGGGCTGATATCGATACGGAGCCGCGGAGAACGTAACATGTTACCGGGGCTTCGGCTCGAAGTGCAGGAATATGAACAGGGTGGTTTCTAGTCAGTAAGAGTGACACTCGCTCGTGCCTTACCTAGTCGGGAGAAGTCAAACGATGGTTTTCCTTCCATAAAAAGCACGATCTGATGCGATGCGATCTAATAGAAATAATTATATACTATCTTGCGTGAAAGCACGATGTAGAGCTCAGCTTAGTTGACCAAACGATTTCTTTGCCACTGCAAAGCATACTTTCATACAGGTTCTCGTACTTGATTCACATCTTTAAAACTTCTTGTCTACAGATGCGCCTTTGACAAAGAGTAAATCAAACGCGACTACATTACAAGAAGTAAGAATCCGAGACGGAATACAAATGCATGAGGAAGTCAAAGGTCTGGGGACATACTTTTCGTTCGTGGATACAGACGAAGTACAACAATCTTCAAATATTGTAACAATGTCAGCAACGTTCGGCGGTGATTACTTGGTAAATATGTATTCAATCTGCAATTTCCTCAATTATGGTTTAAGCTAAGTATTACCTAAGTGTTTTGAACATTTAAGAATTTAAGAACATTTATGTTTCAGTGTGCAGAAGAATGCGACTCCAGCTGGACGTATATCTGCAGTATATGCCAGCCATAAAAGAAGTTGCTCCTGCTGTGGATAAATGGCGCAATAGTAAAGCACTACTGGGTCGCACTCTCATATTATAGGTACATAATTAACTACACCGTACATTGATTATTATCATCAATCCTCATTACAGGGACCAATTAATTGTATTATTGTTGTTTCACATAGTATCTTCTACAGTCTTCCAAATGGTTCGAATAAAATTTATTTTGAAAATCGATTTTTACTTTATTATAAACTAATTTTCACAAACTTCGAACGCAACGAATTGGAACTAGCCTCCTTATTTGATAATAACAAATGATAATCATGAAAATGTCTTTCTAACGACAAGCGTCGATATTGGTCGGTAGGTACATTTCCCATACATGTTTGCCCGTCATCCTTCCTCCATGCATCATACAGATTGTTCTTCAAATGGTATTTTCATTAGGTACTATAACTTGTATCTTCTGTTATGTTTTGAAGCAAATTGTTATTTTCTGAAGATTTACTGGAGTATCCAGAGATAGTTATCTTCTAAAGTTTTGAATCTCTTGCTTTTTTTTAAATAACTTTTTGCAAGTTGTTTCGTTCCGGACTAAGGCCGGAAATAAATCTTTGGCAGCGGCAGTAGCAGTAGTTTTAGTAGTGGGAGTAGTAGAAGAAGTAGTAGCATTAGCGACGGTGGGAGTAGTACTAGGCTTGTCATAGAATGATGATGTCGTTGTTTCCGTTTCCGATTTCTTCGATGCTTGCGTCGCTCACGACGATGCTTGCGTCTTTTCATTCGGTTTCGTTTTTTAATTTGATGCATAACTTTTTTTTTGCAGAACACACGTCATTGACATGATGTCCATGATAAAATACACTCTCCGTCCTATCACGGTCAGGTTCATTGCTACTATCTGAAAATGCTCTTTGTCTAAAACGATGATTTATTTATTTATCATTATACACACATAGGCACATCTTACATCTATCATTACAGGTTTAACCTAATGTGATAGAGAAGCTAGCAATATCCTTAAACGAAATATAAATATAAGCAATAGTTAATAAGAAATGTCACCAAATATTATTATGCTATATATTATTATGCTTCGGGTAACATCTTCCGTGTAATATAATATCTTTTTACCTGGTTTATTTTAGAAAACTACCACACACTAGTATTTTTATCTTGGGTTCGTTTACAAACATACAATTTCACATACACGTGACACCCTGACCCGGAATAACAATTTGTGGATCACACAAATCGTTGCTCCGTGGAGGAATCGACCCGAGCCACACGTACACGTTGCCCAGCCAGCAGCCACCACACCAACCGATGTCATCGCATTGTTTCATCATAATTGTGATAGTCTCGTGAATCCCGACGATGCCTTCTTATCCTTTCTTTATGATGTTCATTTAATTTCTTTAGTATTCTGGGATGTTTATGTAATATGTGTTGGACAATTTTTTTGTAGTTCATACTCCTTCTGGTACGATAGATGAGTTGTAGCCTGAAATTCATATAAACTCGTTTTACAACTACTTTACGGTTTGAATGCGAGTAAGTGCGCTATCGAGTTAATTTGTTAAGGGCCAATTTTACCTCGTTTGTTTGTTTACGACTGATACATTTTAACTGAGGAATAACTTTGAATATACCACTCGACACTGGCAGTATAGTCGACAACACCGTTTTGGAGACTCAGTTGCCAAAGAAAAAAAAAAATCTTTGAATATTTGACAATTGGGATGACGACAGGGTATGAAAATTATAAATCTAATTAGTCCGTAAGTTAGGTATTTAAAAAATATTAGACATGTATTTTTTTATTTTGTCGTATAATAAAACAATACTTAGATAAAACGGATCAAAGTTTAGGAGTGGGGGCTAAAACGGCATTTCTACGTATAAAATGTACATAAAAGTGACGTCACACGACATTTCAAATCAATATATCGTGGAAAGTATTCGTTTCTGTAAGAAAATAAAAAATACGTGTGTAATGATTTAAAATAATCTACCAGACGGACATTAAAATAAAAATTAGTCGTCTACCCTATTCTTCCATACTAAAAACTATCAAATGTGAATTTTATTCTACATATAAGAATTAACTGATGATTGAAAAATCGGCTCAAATGTTACATAATAATATACCTACCATTATACAGAGCATAAATTTCCGTTAATTTTCGAGAAACTTTGTATAAAAGACGAACTATTTTTTTTTGTTCTTCTGTACCCTCTATCTTATTATACGGAGCTAGGAAGGCATTTAAGATCCGTTCGCATACTTGTTCCGGAGTTTTTCCTCCTGTGGGAGGCAGATTATAACTTGAGATTGAAAGAAAACTTATAAAGACAAGTATATATATATATATAGAACTAACTGGTAATTTTTTTTTTTATTTATAATACGTTGCCTCACACTAGGATTTTCTACTGTGTCGTGGATGCATTTACAAACATACAAGTTCACATACACATCACACCCAAACCCGGAACAACAGTTTGTGGATCACACAAAGTGTTGTTCCGAGCGGGAATCGAACTCGCGACACGTTGCACGGCGGCCGGTTGCCCAGCCACCGCACCTACCGAGCAGTCAAAAATAAGTATAACTAGGAACATTTAAAAAAAGCCTTCCTTCACGCTTCAATTGTCTCTAGGGCTGTACCTCACCTCAGAAGTCACCCTCGAGGTTACTCCTTGAGTCTTAAGTTATTGTGTTTCAGTAGGACCTATGTCATATACATTCATTTATTATAAACTAGCGACCCGCCCCGGCTTCGCACGGGTGCAATATGCATGTATTATACATACAAACCTTCCTTAAGAATCACTCTATCTATTAAAAAAAACCGCATCAAAATCCGTTGCGTAGTTTTAAAGATCTAAGCATACATACGGACATACAGCGAAAGCGACTTTGTTTTATACTATGTATTGATTGTAATTTTCGCACATGTCGTGATGAAGTTTAGGTGGAGACTTAGGTTAGGTTGAAAATGAACATTGATAAGAAAATTATATCTACTTTCAATAAATTAGTGTAAATGGTTGTTACAAACTAGAGTCACACTAAAGTCACAGATAACAGTAAGTATAGATCTATGTATGTACAATGTTCAAGGTGTGATTTAATTAAACGTTTTACCCTCAGGATAATGTTCGAAAACTTCTAGCGATGCAAGGAGTTCCTCCCCTTCTTCTTTCGTAAACAAGCTATCGTACAAATCAATGAGTTCTTTATATTCACCATTGAATGTATTTTTGTTTTTAATTACTGTTTGGACCATTTCCATTATGTCTGTAACATAGTGAGAGGACACGAAGGTGATACATTTTCTTAATTACACTATGAAAATGTTTTAAAAAGGGTGTTTCCGTACTTTTTAGTATTTTTATTTCAAGATTTTCACAAGTTTTTTGTAACTTTTCTCATTTAATTCATTTCTTTTAATGCATCAACATTACAAGGTTTCTTTGAAGTCAACTTGGCGGTCGAGTTCTTCAAAGACCTGCTCAAGACCTAAGTTGGCTTATAACCAACCCAATTGACCAGCGGAATTATGAAGTTTCTATGGCCACCTTTCAGTTTTACCATCAGACCCTGTTTTTTTTAAGGAGGGGAAATCATAGAATGCCTTCTCTCGCCTGGGTGAGGCGGGAGGTAGTGTCAGACTCTTACTGACAAAAATCATCCCGTTCCTACTCCTGCCCTTCGAGCCGGAGCCCCAATAACCCGTCAAGTCCTCCTATTTGAGGTGTGCACGGATCGCGACACGCCGTACGCTGGGGTCTGGTGCTGGCCGGGCGGCTAGCTACCATGCTCACCGTTTTTTTACCAGATTGAGTTATACAGTATAATTATAACCCTTCAGGAGACGTGGATTATGCCCCATGATTTACCGATGCTAAACAGGATACATGAGGAGTTCAGTGGTACGGGTACATCAGCGGTGGATGCATCAGCGGGTTTGCTTAGAGGCAGGCCATATGGAGGTGTGGCCATTTTGTGGAGAAATAAAGTGTTTAGATCATTTACGGTGATAGACTGTGGCGATGTGCGGTTAGCGGCCGTGACAGTGAATTTAATAGACAAATCTGTGATGATGTTTAGTGTGTATATGCCAACGGATTGCCTGGAAAATTTACCCGAGTTCACACAATGTTTAGGTAAAATTAGTTCTATAATGGAGGAGTAGGGGTACTCCTACTGTTTATATATTGGGTGATTTAATGCTCATCCAAATGAACTGTTTTATGACCATTTAATGGACTTCTGTCGAGACCAGCAGTGGTCATGTGTGGACATGACGAAGTTGGGTGAGTCAGATACCTTTGTAAGCTAAGCCCATGGTTGTGCGATGTAGAGATAGCGAAACTTTTTAAGCAGTACTTTAAGATAAAACCACAGCATGGTACTGTGATCACATCCAGTCAATCCGAAAAGTGTGGGGCTGTCAACCATCGGAGGTCGGTTCGGTTTACAGCTAAGTAAGTACGAGAGGTGATAAGAGGAATGGCTAGAGGCAAGTCTCCGGGGTATGATGGCCTCAGCATTGAACACCTCAAAAATGCTGGGGTTAATCTGCCCCGCATACTCTCAATGTTTTATAATTTATGTCTTTGTCATGGTTACTTACCGGAGTAACTAACTAAAACAATTGTCGTACCAATAGTAAAGAATAAAACGGGGGATATATCAGACAAAAAGTTTCAGTTATCCGACACAAAAGTAATTACTCAATTTGGACCAGTATCTTAGCGCGGTCAAACAAACAATTAAACAAGAAATGTCTTTGACTTTACAGGGTGTATGGCGCATGGACCTACATAACTTTTTCAGAGATTTGGGAAGTCATTAGCTACCTTCTATCTATAAACTTTTAGTCCCAAATGTCACTAAAAGGGTTTTCTTTTTTGGACAAATATTTCCAAAATGTTCCTAAATATTGCTTTTATAATAGTTGATAATTAACATGTAACACTAAATAAAAAAGTTTGAAATAATAATAAATAAAAAAGTTTGTTGAAACTGTAATATTTGTAATAGCTTACCTGTTGCATAATTACTATGTACACCATATCTATTATTTGCTATGTTGCGTAGTAACTCTGTTAGTGCTCTCAACAAAGGCTGGCCCATACTTGCAAGCTTCCCTGCGCTGATTCGTCTGTTATGCCAAAAAAGCTAGACACATGATTTCAGGTATACAAAGTAAAAATACATTTTAAACCAATTTAAGCATTATGCATAGGTATAATTATTTTATTACTAGCGTCTGCCAGCGGCTTCGCCCGCGTTCTCAGGGGTAAAAAGTAGCCTACGTGTTACTCTACACCATAATCTACCTCTGTTCCATTTCATCCCGGTCCCTTCAGAGGTTTTTTTTCACATTTATAATATCGGTTCAAGCTAATTTAACTATCGGTCCTACAGTTACAGCGTAATGTCTACTGTGGGCAATCTAACATTCGACAAACTTATACTTGCGTTTGGTACAGTAACTGTCTAAGGTTTGAGCCGCACAATTAAGTTTCTAGTTTTTTCGTGTTTATACTTTCTCGGAACAAAAGTACCCAGGTTGGTACCGGGATATTAAAGTATAATCATACCAAGTTTTATCGTAATCGAACCGGTAGTTTTTGTGTGATGCGTGAACATACAGAAAGATAGACAAAAAAAATCTCATTTTTCAGTTCGGTGTCTATGTAGTAACACTCTCTACTATTTCTCTTTTTACATTATAATGTACAGAATTTACATTTCTACAGTTTTATTATACAAGGTGTCCCTGAAGTAGACGATCAAATGGCACTAGGTGATCGAATAAATATTACCGAAACGAATAAATAAACTCCAAATAAATTGTTCGAAACAGGGTTATCGTTGAAAAATATTTTGTGTTAAAATTAAGAAATATTGTTGGGAGTTGTATACCATTCTAGAGGTAGAATACCTATTAAATCCACCAACTTTGGTGTTTTTACCACTATTACCGCAGTACTATTTTTTTTTTCAGTACAGTCACTTAAACTAAGGTGAAAATTTCATTGAGACTTCTTAGTTCATCAAAAAATGATATTCTTTTCTAAACTAAAGCAGTTGGTTCAGAATTTATGATACCATAATACTGAAGCACTATTCAGGATAACGTAAGCAAAAATACAGACGAAAATTAAAGATTTGTAGCAACAAGAGGCAAAAGAGTGTACTTGTACTTTTTGTGGATAACACATAATTTTATCATAATAACACGTAATCATTACCTGGAGCCATTTGATCATCGACTTCAGGGAAACCCTGTATGTATTTGTCTCATCACAGTGTAGATTAATTATTTTTATTTAATTATTATATATGTATGTGACTGACACTTTTAGCCACAGCAGCCCCAGCGGCACTGGGGCCTTACACCGGTTAACGATACTCGCTGTAAAATTGTGGAAATGATAAGTATTTATTACTGATATTAAAAAACATGATCATACTTACTCGTTTACGTCAACTACGAAAGTAACAAACAACTCGTTTGCGGTTCGAAACTCCTTCTTGAATATTTGGTCAAATAATTTGTCTATGGAAGCACTGCCGTAGCCAAGGCCGTCTACCGTTATACTATTCTTCAGATCATGTTGGATCAAGCTTTCTTGTTCTAAGGACAAACAAACATATCACAGAAACAACTAATTAATGTATGTTTTTATAGTAACTATCGTGACACATACTAAATTAACTAAAAATCGCGGGTTACTCACGTGAATATACTGAGAAAAGCTCTACTAGTTTCGAACCACAGAGGGTTCTTCTTCATGAGTAGCGTGCGCGGTCGCGGCAAATTCGCGCAGCCGGCTGGCGTTGGCGCTCGCATCGGTGTTGCTACTTGTGCTGCGAGCCCAACGCGTCTTCTGTCGGCGGCGGCGCGTTGGACGATGTTAAAGCGCACGGTACTTTCACCAGCGGCGCGGGTAGTGAGTTCGATTCCGGGTTCGGCACAAAGTCAGTGTTGCATATAACGCTTACTGTGTCACTCTCCGGCTGGAGACGCTGTGGATCGACGTAGACTCCAAGCTCGGTTTCCACGCGGGTGGCAGTGCCCATCCCTATTGAAGCATGGACGTCGGGTATTTTCGATGGCCTTTTGCACTTTTCGCGAAACGAAGTATTTTTCTCTCGCTAGTGCGGAGACCAAACCGTGTGAAGTGAGCCGCGTCCGTACCGAAAACATGTTCAGCCACTGTCGATGCCTGGATATCCATCTTCTTCAAACTAGCTACTAATAACTAGTAGAGCTTTTCTCCGTATATTCACGTGAGAACCCGCGATTTTAGTTAACTAATGTGTAATCTGTGGTAATTATGTCCAAGAATAATGAAGTGGCTCGTCATTCTTTTTATTTTACATTTTTTATTGCACGATAAGGTTTCCTTTTTCGTTTAACCCACGAGATTCTTTACTTATTTCCAATCCGAGTGCTGTGTGGCGCGAGGGTTCAGTACCCACGTTACTTAGTACCATTAGGGTCTGGAAATATTGAGATGTTTGAGGAAGTAAGTTCTCGTCGCCCATTGTCAAATGAATATCTAATGCAGTTGTTATGACCACGTGAAGCGGAATGAATTCGGAGCAGAATCTGTTATTTTAAGCTAAACCGTTTTGCCGGCAGTCGGCTATTGACTCTGTTACATTACAAACAGCCGTGATGCCGGTCCGGACAAGTGAGAACACTATAATGTTAAATAGAGTTGGTTGTAAATACCTCTAGTAGGGAACGCAAACTCGGCTTTTGTAGCAAGAGTAATTTTCGTCTAAAATGGGCAAAATCTCGCGAGATTAACGAGATTACTTACTATAAGATTTCTATTTGATATTAGAGGGGAGACAGAAAATAGTAAAGCTGTCTGAAGGTAAACCTTAATGTGAGTATGTGACCCAGGCAAGACTCAGACCTCAGAAGACCCAGTGGTCTTATCAGCTAAGGCCATTAAATACTGACATTTAGCCAAAGTCAGATTCATATTCAGTGCCCCAACCTAATCAAAGAGTTATTAGTGAACCGTCTTGTAATGCCAGCAGGAAGCAGATCCTAAAGACTCAGAATATGACGCCTGAGATTTTTCAACCGCTGTATGTATTTTATTGGAATTCAAATGGAGTTTTTTTTTTTTTTTTTAATCTTACATTTCTTATTCTCCACGGACTCTTGTCCGTCCCTTGTCATTCCATTACATTTTCTTTTAATTTACAGTCAAAATTAATTGTTACTTCAAATGGAGTTTAATCACTGAAACCTCACGGGAATAGATGCTATACGTTTAAACTCCCTGTGGGATTGTTTTTTTTTGAAATCACGAACATGAACAACATTTCACAATAAACATAAGTAAATTAATTCTAATGAGATTTGTTACAAGGCAATGAAATTAACATTGGAAAAGACTAATTAAAAAATACAAAATTTGTCAACAGCTTGTAGTATATAATAACGTGTCATCCAACATAGCTATGTTAATTTTAGCAAATTCTGCTTTATTTTGGGTTCTCTCTGTTCTGTGTACCTCTAGTTGTGTTGTGTTTTTAATTTTCATTTTTGTATTGCAATGTTTTACTAATATTGGCTAGAAATAATAAATGTAACGAGACGGGTATAAACTAAAGTGAATTGAAGCGATATTACAAATACAAAAAGAGGACTTTGTATCCTCTATGTGTACCTACGTGTAATGTTCGTACCAAAATCCTCTGGGAATGGCCAGTTCGGTGGGTGGGTATGTACTGTTGTTTCTGAAGCTTTTTTAAATAAATTGGATGTAGTAGAAAGTTCAGTAGAATTTTCTGAAAACAGATGAACATATTATGACTTACTCATAGCTACGAATATAATAGTCGGACGCCTTTTGAATGAATTATTAAAAAAAAAATACTTATACATACTCCATGAAATCATGACCCACACACCCCATTTTGTTGAGTTGAGTTGAGAGAAGAAGAATAGAGGAAGAATGAAATCGATACTACTACACGCCGAGTTGTACAAGAGACTTTTTATGATACATACAAGTGGCTTTTGCTATTCGAAGAAATCGGCCGCGCTTTCTAGTCTCAACACTGCGTTTTTTTTGAGGGGGGGAAAATCATCCAATGCCTTCTCCCGCCTTGAATGAGGCGAAAGGGACTCAAAACCACCCTGTTCCTACTCGTGCACTTCGAGCCGGAGCCCCGGCAACCCGTTAAGTCTTCCGCGGCTCCGGCGCTTTGTTTTCTCTTGTGATGTGTTGCGTGTCGTACCAGGCGCAGGCTCATGGAAGTCGTGCCACCAAATGTTTGTAACTCCGTAGTTCATGTAATCTATGTCATCGTTATTCTCGTCCAAATCGAATTGTGTCGGAATGTCCTCTATTCTTCTGTGTTTCCGTTCTTTATCTATTTTGCCTTCGATGTCGGCGAGCATGTCATTGACGTGTGATAGTGATCTTTGAAGTTGAGCTTTTAGAGGAGCATTTTTTTCTGTAGCTGAAATAATAGTTTTGACTTTGGTTTTTGACGGCAGTTTAAATTTGATTATGGTTCATACCTACCTGCTGTGCGTCTTGAAAAAATCATTAACTATGAGAGCTATGTGCTGACCAGATCAAGAAGTTGTTCATAATGGTAAATTAATATCCTGCCAACTGCCATGTGTTTGTTACGGTGGGTGCTTATAATATATTGACTAACTACCTACTTGATAGAAACATAACATTACATCACGCCTTTTACCCCTCGGAGGGGTAGCCAGAGGTATACATTATGGCATTTATTGCCACTACAATGTAGCACCCAGTTTTGACTACCTCTATTTATGTTATGAGTCCCATTTCTTTCCCATGTGCCATTGGGCACATTTCCAGACTCCGTGCTATTACTGTGGTTTTTTTAAAACCCAGTAATACTTTGCTCGACCCGGGAATCGAACCCGAGACCCCTTGTAATATATATAATGTAATTTGCATAATATGGATATATTGTAAATAGATACTTCTGTTGTTGTAAATAGACGGCATCGTTGGCCGAGGGGTCGCAAGTAGACTGTGTCTCGGGTTCTATTCCCAGGTCGGGCAAAGTATTACCTACTGTTTTTTTTTTTAATCTCAGTAGCAGCACGGAGTCTGGCATTGTGCCCAGGCTCACCCCCTATAACATGGGACTCATAACATAAATAGTGCAAAGTGGGTGTTACATTGTACAGTGGCATAATGTACACCTCTGCCGACCCCTTCGGGGATAAAAGGCGTGTTGTTATGTTATGCATGTATACTTCTGTCACATAGCCTGTATATTTTCTCAGTGATATAAAAATACCGAGTTCCAGGAATAATGATATACATGTTATAGAGATAAATATTTATAAATCACTTACATGAATTAACATATATTCTCAGTAGAGCAAAAGTTAAAAATAAAACAAACATTGTAACTTACTCATTGCCAATATAAATACATAAACGCACATTACACTTGTTCACGATCAATAAAATAAATCGAAAGGAATAAAACTACGTAGCTGATTATTATTTAGATTTAACACCTTGAAGTACATATGCAGGTTCCATATGTTAATAATATGCAACCTGTACTGTACCACAAGTCGGTTGGTGCTCGAGCTGCGACGGCCGTACGAGAGTTTGTGGTCTCGTATCTCCGGAAACTCAGGAATAGATGATCTTATATTTATAGTAAACGAAACAAAATAAATACAATGAAAATGTCATTTATTTATATCAACAAATAATTCCGCTACTTACGTAGACCAAGTACATAAATATCTAAGTGCCATATTGACCCTTGTTTGTAACAATACTTACGTTTAATTACAATATTTTTACCAAAGTCTTAGCTCTGGCAATAAAACAAAATTCAATAAATTAAAATGTATGTACCTGTATAGTAACACGTGTTAGGGATGTGGTAGCATTGTTTTGTAGCTGATGTGATTGTATGACATAAACAAAATGATGATTTGTTCATTTAATTATCGAGAGCCATGAAAGAGTTTGCGTTAATAAGGTACGTGTTGCAAAGGTTCTTGTTTTCGAACATTTCGTGAATTGTGGAGTCCAAGTATGTGTTGACGACTACAGCGCAGTTGAGGTCAGTGGCCGCGTGTGCTAGAGGTGCGCTCAGTTGGTGCACTATGACCGGGCGCTGCGAGTGACGCTGCAGGGCGGCGGGGGAGGGCGCGGGGTGGGAGGACGCTGCGCGCATGTAAACTATCTGAGAACGCAGCGCATGCACGCGCGGTACGTAGTGACGAGTGGCCTCGATGCGCCTTAGAGCCGACTCAATCAATGCGCGCGCATACTGAGCTGAATGCGACACGCGACCAAGTAAGTTCCGGACGCAAGCGTCCACTTTCTGCGACCACGTGGTAGATGCTTGCAAGGCTTCATCGACTCCAGTAGTGTCACCTTCCGTCATGATGGAGGACATGTGCCTTGCTACTGCATCTTGGAGTTGTTCTTCAGTCTTGTATTCCGCGAGTTGATCCTCTAGTCTCTGCACGAACTCATCAGGTGCGAATCCAAGGCAGTAGACGGTTCCAGTCAAACCTGTAAAGTAATTATGTCATATTACAAACGCCTTTCTTAAACAAGTTCCACTTCAATTTTGTGCTAGTACAAGTAGAAGCACCATTTGGCAAACAAAAGACGCGTTGTCAATTTTTATGGAATACATCGGTAAACGAGCAGACCGTTGAAGCATGAAAGCATGGACACTTGAAACACCAGAGGTGTTACCAGACTTTTGGGGATTGGGAATTTGAGGATTGTTAGGGATTCGGAGAATGGGGAGGGGGGAAATTGGGCTTTCGGTAACTTCAGTCATAGAACGAAATACAACGCAAGCGTTGTTTGACGTCCTTTTTCTGTGTTGTTGTATCACTCCGCTCAAGCCAGCCCATTCGCACCGAAGCATGGCACTCCCATACTTCTCCCACACTCATTAAAATTACAGACATTACAGTGGCAAAACTGACTATTCTTACCATTATTTTCTAAAATGGCAGCCATTTCTAATGCAACAAATATTCCACTTTCATATCCAAGGAGGTAGAAGTTGTTCCTAAGTCCCATCTTCTTTAACATCACCTAAAAAAAAAGAATCATGTTATGTGTCTAATTCAACATTGCCATAACTAAATAAACTTCTGGAAGTTTTAAATTCACAAAACAGATTATCGCTCAAAATTAAGATATGCTAGAAAGCTGTGTAAAGGAAGTGACGTTACTTCAGCAAGTCTTTCGGCGGTTTCTTGTACTGTTTCGTTGGAGAGATCAAGTCCAGGCTGCAGCACGAGCGCCGGCAGCTTGAGTCTCTCACAGAGCACGCGGAATCTTTCGTAGTGGCCCTCCATGCCAGGGATTATGCACAGGTACGTCTGATTTGAGTCGAATTCGTCGTCTCTCTGTAATTGACAAATTCAATTAGAGTTAGGGAACTGGTTATACCATAATCTATATAAGTTCATCCTGCTTAGTAACGCTAAAAAACAGACCTTTCTGTTACTAATAAAGCCATTCTCATCTCATGCCTGCTTTTTATATCGCCAAGTTGTCAAAATTAGACTAAGATAATTTATGGTGACCACTTCATGACTTACCATAGCCGCATCATTTACTAGTGTCGGTAAGAATACGAAGTCAGTTGTCGCCAGAAGTTCGTCCGAGTCCACGTTAGAGAAGAAGGTTGCCAGGCCCTTTTCATCCTTGAATTCCGATTTGGTGATAGCTTTTTCAAATTGTTCGAAACTAAAACAAATGTTTTTACTTTTCTTGGAGGAGTTGGTAGAAATATCGTCAAAATAAAGTTTACTTTTGTCATTTGACTGAAACTGTATAAAAGTCAATCATTCATAAATGCTTACTCTAAAAAAAAAAATTACTTACGCATTCATCGTCAAAGTAAGCAATTCGTTCTCTTCAAAGACCAAATGGTAGTGAATTCGCAGGTATGTACAGATTCTCGTCAGTTTTTCATTCTCAATGCCTAATTCTTCGAAAGTTGTTTGTTTGTTGAGGTTCTCGTCAATAGTCACACCTGCGAAATGAAACAGTTTTTAGAGGTTGTAGTGTTTCTATGTTAACTTTGCATCAAATCAAGGAAGTTGTGACAAACACTTGAGGAATCGTCATAACACCAGAATGGCAGGATTTAATCTAAGTATAACTAACCAGCAATAGCAGCGATTTTCTGCAGCAGCGAGACATGTTGCGCAGGCGCCGTGGTTGCCTGCACGACATTGTGCGAGCCACGCAGTGCCCTCTCCATAGCCTCTGTCGCACCACGGTACCATACCCCTTCAGTCACATCCTATTAATAAAAATATACTACTTAAACAAAATGTAATAGTCAAATGATGTATGTCCTGTAAACTATACATTTTTGCCTACATAATAACCATTAGTTTCGTCTAATTAAACGATAGAAACTCACGTTGGTCAGTTCAGGTAGCGACACTATGGTAGCCGGCAAGTTGTCCTTCGCACGATGGAGACAGACTTCCTTACCGATTGAATTGTCACCGGTACTGAGCACTGCAAAGTATCTGTCGAAATATAAACCATAATCACAAAAACGAACTAGACTTGCTTTTTCAATTCGCAGGATAACCGAGATATAATGATATATGGAGACGAGACATATATACATATATACAAAACAGATCGCATGTCGAGATTCCAAGTAATTAAAAAGTTAAGGAGTAAGGAAATGTCTGATAACTTACTTAATTTCCGGACAAAGTTTCCTGGAGGCCTGATCAAGTAAGTTGAGGAATGTTTCATCGAAAACCAGTTGCTTGTCACCAACCGTCACGTACACACCCTCCACTGGACCCACCGCCTTGGCTTTGTTCAGCAATACAATGAGATCATTCTCTTTCTTCAAATCGTTATTACTCACCATAACTTCAACGCCCGCCTCTTGCCACGACCTGGCAAAAGACAAAACTACTTATTTAAAATCTGAATCTCAGTTATAAATTTATAAACTGCAAAGAGTGATTCTTATTGGAGAAACACCCCTCCATTTCCAATAAGGGGATAGGGAGTTAGAGGGAGAAAGAGAGAGAGAGAGAGAGAGAGTGAGAGAGTGAGAGAGGGAGTTTACCTAATTTTAATCTGGAGGTAGCTGGAGTGTTTCTGGTAGTGTACACAAATCTTCTTAGCCCCACGTTCGACCAGTTTGTCACCAATTTGCAGGCCGAAGGTGTCATCATTGCAAAGTATCAGATGGGTACGGTCAGGGCTGCAGGTGATCCTGGAGAAATAATAGTGACATTATTAAATATCATCATCATCACTGTTCCCATTTTGTGCTGCATGTAAGCTTGTATAGAGTTGACTTATTATTACTCTTACTTATTAAGTTTACACCTGAACCATCTCTGAGTGTTTAGCAATTATTATAAAAATCGACAACTAAAGGAACGATATAGGCCATACCTGGGTTGAGCCTGTAGTGTTGATTCTCCCATCTTTAGCAGTACACGACCGCGGTGCCTACTGGCTGCCACCAGACGGAATGCACTCGGCGCATCTTCTGGAGCATACGTGACGCGGGACAGTGGACGCACATAGCCACGAGTTATGCCTTCACTCAACATACGTTGCACGAACTGTAACAAATAAAATATTTGTTGAATGATTATATAATGATTAAATGTTCCTTCATGTGACCCCATGACTGACGCCAATGACGAAATTAACCACATTATTGAAGTTCCAGTTAAGAATTACGTGTAATATACCTTGGCATCTTCAATATTCGCGGGGTCGTAAATGGAGGAGATGTCTACAGCAGCATAAGCGCGGTCCATAGTCAAGCTGTACATTCCATAGGAGAACACATCGTGGTTGTGCAGCTGAGAGGTATCAATAAATGTACCCAGACTCCTGACGCAGTTGATGGAAGACTGGAAAACCAAAAGAAAATATTCATAGCCTTTTTTGTGTTTAAGATAATAACACAGTGTATATTATCCCTATATAAATAGTTCGTTCATTAAGAAAAAATATGGAGGTTACCTGGAAAGATTTCCGGGAGTTATGAAAATTGACAAATTTTACATTTTGGTGTATTCTTTCCGATTTTCATTTTACACCTTTATACGTACACCGCTCGTGCCGTAAAAATTGTAGAAAATTATGAGTAGTTTAATCTTGTAGTTAACGTTTTTCTCGTAAAATGCATAGGAAGAGAGATATTGTAAAAAACGGTTTTTGGTCGGCATTTTTCCAAGATTGCAGCGCGAACGGCCCACGTACAAAGGTGTAAATGAAAATCGGAAAGACCACATCTAATGTTACATCTAAATTGCCGATATTCAAAACTCCCGGAAAGTATTCCAGGAAGAACTACCAAATTACTGAACTAAAAGGATAGCACATCCTTTTAAGTCACTTGTCGATTGGGACGAGCCCTTTCAAATGACAGACACGATAGTAAGTATCTTATGCAACCTACCGCCTTCAACTCTTCTCCGAGGGAACTGATGACAATGTTACAGCCAGCTCCTTTGGTTGCAATCATCACCATGTCAGCAAAACTGTGGTCGCGAGAATTACCGATGTGTTCCGCTGAAAAAATCGATAAATTATCATGTACTGTATACCTTTCTAGCGCATAATCACGCAAATTATTATCGACATCCATTTCAGACACATCTTGCTAGCGATATAGAAATCATGTTTACTGGATAAACGTTAGCGTGATACCTTAAAAAGGTGATAAATCTTGATTAAAATTACCTTTCAGTTGCGGGAACAGTTTGCGCAGGAAATGTTTCTTGCGCATGTCACTGACGGTGGTGAACACCTCGTACCCGTACGCCAAGGCTATAGATATGACAGCTTGCCCAAAAGCACCAGTCCCACCGTGCACCAGCACACTCATGTCGCTTGTTACTTGTTTACGACTTTTTATTCCCTGAAACGGATAAGGAAGAATTTGGCTCATAATATCGGGACACTTGGTGTGACGAAAATAATTTGATGGTGATGTACTCACCAAGCAGTAGAGTGCATGTGCGTATGCGAGCGGCACGGTGGCGGCGTCCTCGAGCGTCCAGTGCGCGGGCACCGGCCACAGCAGCTCCGGCCGCGCGTGCACCACGCTGCTCGCCGCGCCGTGCGGGACCAGACCCATCACGCGCTCACCGCTAGTATTACCGAATTTCAGAGTTATAGAAGTTTTTCAGATACGTTGTACCTCGATAAATAAATGACAAACGAGATTTGGATATTGAAGAAGGTTCATTGATGCTACATGGTAATAACGATATTGACTTTGGGTTTATTGCTTAAAAATATGTCTTAAATTCTGCCAAGATTTACTGTTGCAGATTGAATGAACATTCCTTGATCTCAGGATGGAACGTTGTAAGAAAATTTGAATCGGGTTACAAGAAAATATTGTGTACCTCTTGGTGGTTCCACTGAAGTCCATACCGAAAGCATTCTTTAGGTTCTCCTTGTACAACAATGATCCACTTGCTTTCTTGACATCATCGTAATTGATGCCGGCGTATTGTACCTAAAGGGAATTGAAATGATCTTGTCAATTAGTGTGTATGTTGTTTAAAGTTACCGTTAGCACTCGATATTAGAAAGCATACCTTTACAGCTACTCCAGATTTGGTAAGTTCTGGAGCTTCCACCCAGGTGAGAGTGTCATAATCACCAATCTGAGAGCATTGCAGCGTCACGTTCTTGCTCACTGTCGGCTTCTCCTCTATCGACACGTAGTGTTCTCCACCCCATTTGCCCTGAGAAAAATAAAAATAATGTAATGAGAACGAACGCTTCATGCTTTCTCACAAGCATAAGTTGAATAAAAAACTGACACATACGCATGTCTTCCTTCAGGACAGGCCGATATTTAAATGCCTTTATTTTAGTCGTGGTTAAAAACATTAATTTTTTTTTTCAATTTTCTTCGATGTTTCTTTTTAGTTTGTCTTCTACATAGTAAGACACGGAATATAAAACGGCTATTTCGTAGCTGCAATGGTAGTCAATAAGTCTGTGACTTTTTGAATAAAACGCATTTTTTGTAAAAAAATATTTTATTGGTCAAACTTTCGCAAACATCTTTATCCATCCCAAAAACTTGTGACTTTCACTTGTGACTTGTGTTAAAATAGGTATGACAGTTGCCTCTTGTTAGTTCGGAATTCGAGAGACTCTTCAAATATAATAATATCGAATTATCGAATGTTCGAATTATCAAATGGGCCGAAACTTGCCTCAGAATATAGATACCTCTGCAAATTCTGAGATTTTTCTGTCCCTTTCTCTTTGTAACTTCGAATTATTGAGAGTTGGACGCCGATAAATTCGAATTATCGAGTCTTCTGGTTACGTAGCAATGATATTTTAGTTCGAATTACCAAGTGCATAAAAATGTGTTGATTTAGTTCGAAATATGGTTTTCTATCGGTTTATTTGTCAGATGATATCACAAAAACAAATTTTCAGGTATGGGATCAATAACGAGAATGATGTACCTAACTATTCGTGTCCTTGTTTAATGAAGACATCTGTATTTGTGTGCGGAATGTATTTTTCGCTCAAATATCCCAAGAAATTAAAACTAATAGGGCCTTTGTAGAGTCACGGACTTACTGAGCCACGTTGGCAAAAACATCAAGAATAATAGAAAAATAACGAAATATCATCTTACATTATCCAAGACGTTGTATGCCAGGTCGATATCGGGGACCTCATCCACGTAGAAACTATCATTGCTGTCTTTAGCGACCATGATTAGATGGATCTTATTGCGGCTGGCTTCATTGCGCCATTTAGCCACTAGTTCTTTAAGCCCTGGTACGGTTGGATAGGGTGTAACGATCAAGAGTCGGTGTCCCACAGGTATGTTATTCCGCGTAGAGACGAGCAGTGTAATATCTGCGGCTGATCGCACGGTCACGGTTGCAGTAGCTACTGCAGTCGATGGTCCCCAACGAATCAACTGAAGGAGGGACTGTTTCTGGCCGTTGTCAAGGATGTTGTGGACGGAGAACACACGATACAATGAGGAGGGGCGAGTGCGGCCACCAAAGGTCAAGTCCTCTTCGCTTATTAAGAATTGATCCTTTTGTAAAACACGATGGAAGAGCTGACAGAGCTGTAGGAAAAATGTAATATAAAGTATAATCATTGTGGCTAAAAGAAACTGGAAAATATTTAGTAGCATTCTATTTAAAAAATTAAATAATATTATTGCTAGGTAGGTTTGGTAATAAAAATAGAAAAAATACGATAAATTAACTCACCCCATCATCTGTAGAGAGGTTTTGGACCAGCACCAGATCAAAATCTTGTAAGTTTGCTTTCTTTAGTGCAGCCTCACGTGTGACTTCGTCGTAGGTTACATTAACACCGAATATATTCTTGATAGCCTTATTTACTTCTTTGAAAAGTAATCCTTTCACTGGCTGATTTACAATACCAACTACGTTCAAATCGGATTTATTTACATTCTCTGCTACTGTTTGTAAATAAACTTCTAAGGAAGTTGAAATCTGTGGATATTACAAATTAATATTGATTTTCAATTAGTTATATTTCTATCCCATTTTAAGGGATTATCATAGACTTCCATAATAAAATCCCCTAAATATTTTATTTGGAGTAAATTCCATCTGGAGTCTTGACGCGCTATTTAGAAAAATAAGGAGAGTTTATAAAAATACTAACGCGATACATTTTAGTACCTCCCCTTAATTTATACTTACACCAAGTGCTGCTTGAGAATTCGGGATAAACTTCAAAGCCTTTAATGTCATGTCTTTGTTAACCATTGGAGGTAAGTTCTCCAATTTAATGTTACTGATGGACACACCACCACATCTGGAATGAAACGAAACTCGTAAGTATTGTAATAACCTCTTCAAATATTTAGCAACTCATAAAATAAACAATTGGTAAAAATGACAATTTTTAGAAGACAAAATAACATTAAAACAATTTGAAGTTAATAATGACATTACTAAAAACTCACATGGTCATATTCATATTTTCTATAACCTGAGCCTTCATCAGAACTTTGTAATCTGAGACGAAGGACTTGGCAACAATGTCCTGGTGTTTCTGAACATTGATGGTCAGGTTTCTTATGTGTGTCGGAATAGAGACACCATTATGCTTCTGTCTCAGCATGTTCAGCTGTAGCAGGCCATCGACGAAGGTCACCCAATTGTCTCTCCATATCAACGAAGCTTCCGTCAGGGATGCATTTACACCTTCGATGCTGCGGAACTCACCACTGTGTGGACAGAAAATAGTATTATAGCATATTATAGTATTATGTTTAAAAAGATAAACGATTAGGAGTTTTAATAGGTAATAAATATTAACACGTATTCAGGGATCGGTACACATTTAGTTGTGTACAATATTAAAAAGAGATGAATAGTAGGTCTATTGTTGAATTTTCAAATATCATCTAGTTTTGGTGATTAATGTCACTTTTTGTCCGCATGTGCTTTCCAGTCATGTGCTGGACTAACGGTTCAAAGACAATATAAACATTACACAAACTCGTACACTTTACCTGTACGAGTAATCTCTATCCCTGAGCAGATGATACACATCATCAGCAGTCAGGTCTATGTTGACCTCGGTGTCCACGTCGGTTTTAGTTTGGGTTTTCTTTATATCATCAAGGTCTAGAGCTACAATAGTTCCAATCACCAGCTTGATATCTTCGTTTAGAATCTGTGATAGAAGAAGACGGTGTTATTAATAAGTTTTAGTGGTTTTATTACCGACCAATGTTATAGCGAATTCTCGTACTATATCGTGATCATAAAATAAAATACTTGGTAATGTCAAGCAAAAAGGGTTTAGGAAAAGCTAGCAATAACTTACTTCAAACTTGCCAGCACCCCTGTGTAGGCACATGCTGAGACGCAGCTGACGCTGGTCGTGCATAATCGGCTGCGTGTATAAGTGCAGGTTGCGGAACTCCACCGATATCTGTTTCCTCGGGACCCCCACTGTCATCGCAAATATGTCCCAGACCAGCATCAGAGTGGCCGAGAATGGGTACACCGTGTGTCCTGAGACAAAATATTTTAATTTTGGATATTGTCAAAACGGATTTTACTGAGCTGATTGAGCACTAGACTATGCCATTTATTTGTTTGTATGTATATGTATTGTAATGTATACTGAGGATGGTCTTCAAGATTGGAATTACTACAGGGAAGTGAGAACAGCTTTAACTGACGTTGTTTTATCTACTGGTTAAGACAACAATTACCTCTCAGTGCGTGTCCCTGTAAGTATGCACTCTCGACGTCCTGTAGTGAGGTCACGTAGTCACAGGTAGCGGCTGCCTTCCTACTGGCTGTACGGAAGAGTGGCATGGGCCTAGAAGAAAGAAGGTATTAATGAAAAAGACAAGAAGTGATTGGTATCAATGTTCCAAATGTATAATTGATGTGAGAAAAATTACAATAAAACACAATTTCTCAACAGATCACTCACCATTTCTCGGCGTGAGCCCATTTCACTAGATGCGACAGGAAGGGTGTACCAGAAGACACTGGCAGCTCTACTTCTGGATACAAGACATTGACTTTGGGATTGTATCCCTCCATGAACAACCTAAAACGAATTACAGTAAATAAACATTTCCAAATTAACTCGTCGAGTACCGGTTTTGTAGACACAATTATAGAACAATAGGTTGCGGTCACCGGTGACCGCTTGGTGTTTGACAGTTTAAGTCTAATAGTCATTCATATCTTATTACCTTAATGTAAATACGGCAGTTATGTAATGGAGGAACTGATGTTATACTTACTTGCCAATACCCTCAAGTAGCAAGAATGTATTATCAGGATGCTTCCTCCTGGTCAGAGCGATGTTCTTGCAGTTGGGGTTCAGCGAGCGCTTGAGGATAGCCTGCAGCAGACCGTGGGGAGCTATCTCTACTAATACAGCGTCATTGGGAATTAACCTTGAAGTTTCCTCGAACAATACCGGGCTCTGTAAAATAAAAATATTGCACCATAGTAATATTTTTTTTTTTTTTTGCACGCGCAGTAATATTACGATGACTTTTCAAAGTCTCGACTCGACTGGTCGCAAGTGCGATTGCCAGGCAAGTGGTCTCTGGTTCGATTTTTGGGTCGGGCAAAGTAATACTGGGTTTTTATTTTAATTCTTAGTTGTAAAGGAGTGTGCCCGTTATATGGCAATAGGCTCACCCTCTATTACATGGGACTCATAACATAAATAGTGAAAAGTAGGTGTTACATTGTAGGTACAGTGGCATAATGTGCACCTCTGCCTACCCCTTCGAGGATAAAAGTCTTGACGTTATGTTATGTATAATCAATACATAGTATAAAACAAAGTCGCTTTCGCTGTATGTCCGTATGTATGCTTAGATCTTTAAAACTACGCAACGGATTTTGATGCGGTTTTTTAATAGATAGAGTGATTCTTAAGGAAGGTTTGTATGTATAATACATGCATATTGCATCCGTGCGAAGCCGGGGCGGGTCGCTAGTAATATATATACCTCTAACTACTATTCTAACTCTCTGACTCTTGGAACTTACCAGTAGATTATTAGTGTGGTACTCAGCAGAGCAAAGTTTGGCACTCGGTTCGTCCCACTTGTCTTGTGGCACCGAAGATGAGATCCAACGCTCACTTCGGGGTTTTGGGTCCTTTATCACCTCGGAGAGGTATTCGAGTAGTTTGGGGCCTGCACAAAAAGTTTAATAAGGGTATTTAAATCTTAGCACCTTACTTACTTCCAGTAGTTGGATGATAGAGACATTTCAAAGCATTTTTTTACACTTCTTAGAAGATTCAGAATATTAGATGAAATTAGTAAGATTATGAATATTCCATAAACATTAGAACTCACCAGCTTCAGCGATGTAACGTGAATGGTACGCGATGTTGGAGCATGGTACTTCCTTAGCAAAGATACTCTTAGCAGTCAGTTGTCCCACGAATTCGCGCATGATATCAGCAGGGCCAGAAATGGTACTAGATTCAGGTCCATTGTGACAAGCGACCTGGATTTCTGGTGGGCACATCGGCAATATCTAGAACAAAAAGTTGAATGAGTAACAAAAATAATATGAGAATGTCTGAATCGACACAAGTGTGGGAGAGCCATGCTTAGACACGAATGGGTCGGCTGTACCGGAGTGATACCGCGACCACACAGAAAACAAACAACGCTTGCGTTATGTTTCGTCGTGTCAGTGAGGTTCCCGGGGTCCAATTACTCTTCCCCCCTTCTCCTCTTCTCCAATCTCCCCAATCTCTGTATCTCCAACAATCCTTAAATTTCTAATCTCCAAAAGGCCGGTAACGCTCTTGTAACGCCTCTGGTGTTCTGGGTGTCCATAGGCGACGCTGATTGCTTACCATCAGGTGATCCGTCAGCTCGTTTACCAGCTTATCCCATAAAAAAATCATTTTTCATTTGTCTAGGCTCGCTGATACGTTGCGATATCGCACTGTTTCTGTGTATCCTTTATATCATGACAACAGATAGATTACAAACCTGTTCATATCCAAGACCAATAGCAGCCATAGATCCGCGAATGAATGGAGTCTCTAAAGATACGAGACCACGGCTGTAGGCTGACAGAATCATTTCTTCTGCAGTCAAACAACCGTCGCCGTAGGCACATCCCAGCTCTCCTACACTGTGACCTGTTTGAAGACAAAAACAAACACAATAATTATTTATTTAGTAAGCCAATTCACTTATAACTATTTAGAACAAAGGTTTTAATACAGTGTGTCGTGAATTACATGTTCCACTGCAGAAATGCTTTATTATGAAATGGAACACTAATATTAAATCTCTTCTTTGTTGTCTTCGTGCAACTACGGAAATTATAGTTATTTCTATGCTTTATTTTCTTACCGATAATTCCATCAGGTTTTAGTCCAAGCTCATATAGGATGTCGGTGAGACCGATTTGTATGGCGGCGATACCGACGAATGAATGCAGGATGTTGTCGAATGTCTTCTCATCAGTTGATGTAATAATATCCACTATGTCGATACCCTTCGGTTCTAAAGCTTTGCGGCATCTGCAAAAGTATTAAAAACATGCATTTAAACACTTTACGATTAATTGAGATGAAAATGAATAAGTTCAATTGACTAATTTTGACAAAATCATACTTTTCAATAGCGGCAGCGAAGATAGGTATGCGCATCAGTTGTGTACCCATACCAGCCCATTGGGATCCCATACCGCTGTACACGAACCATAGGGGACGACGAGCGTTGTCGAAGTACTCAGACTTCTCCGAGAGGCTTATCGTCTTCTGTTCCTCATTTGTGTCTGAAAAAGTATTCATTTATTTATTAGTCTACTTATGTCCCACGTCACTAAAACAAAACTTTCAAACCTTTCGGTATCATTCTTTTGTTCTCCTACCTAGAATGATAAATCCTCGTCCCAAGTGTCCAGAAATGTTATTGGAGTGAATGTTATGCAGCAGCCTCAGCTGTTCCGGGTCGATGGGGTTGGCTTTCAAGTTCTCCAATATGTGAGTTACAGCTTGCTCGTGTCTCGCTGATATGGTCACCAGGTGAGCGATACTGGACTTGTAGCGGCTCGGGTCCTAAAAATTATTAAAAAAGTGTTTTTTTCATTGTCTGTCTTATGTCCTTACACAGGCCATTAACATATCGGACGCCAATTACATGAAAGATTGTAAAAATATTGTAAAGATTAGATTTTGTACCTTAGGTTTGCAGTTTCCATGCAGCAACACATGCGAGTTGACTCCAGTGACAGACATGCCGTTGACGGCAACGTACGTTCGTCGAAAGCCCTGATGCTCCGTGACGACGCGCATACGACCCTCGCGTAGTGCCGCCACATCCTGGCGGGGGTTGGTGCAGTGGAGGTTGGCGGCTATCTGGCCAGTGTGGTAGCCCAACAGTACCTGGTGTACAAAAAACGCATTCCAATTAAATGATTTTCTTGGGTTAAAAATAATATTATATTGTATGGTCACTTAAAAATGAATTATGTTCTATTATATTATACACTTAAAAATGAACTAGCTACTTCTTGATTCTTCTTGTTCAACTTACTTTTGTAATGGCAGTGATACCAGAGGCGGCTTCGTTGTACCCAATGTTGGACATCACACTACCGATGAGGAGAGGATCTTCTCTTTCGTTACAGAACACTTTCTCAATTGCCTGCAGTTCCACTTTGTCGGCCTCCTTTACGGCTGAAAGATTATAAATGCATTGTGACAAAATATTCTGTCGGATCTGAAAAGTCTCTACAGTGAGACTATTCGATTCTACTCACCACATCCAAGAGCCTCGACATACTCAATAGCCGCTGCGGGGACTCTCGCTTCCTCGTAGAATTTCTTCATGAAGGTGACTGACTTGTCGACGTCTCTGTAGAATCCGTACTGAGGCCCAGTCTCTCCAGGCAGAATGCAAGTGAACTCCGATTTGGCATGTAAAACGCTAGCGTAGACTCTGTAAGATCATACAAAACCGATCTAATTGTACTGGCCTGTTGTGGAGGAAAATAAAGTAAGTACATAAATAATTGTTATTAATGGGATACTATCATCATCAACAACAGTTGAAAGACGTCCACTGTTGGACAAAGGCCTCCCTCTTAGTCCTCCACGTCGAATGATATTTAAAAATGAATTAATTAATGTGATACTAAAACAATTAAAAAACTCCAGCGTCTATCATCCACATACCTCAATGCATCTTTAGCTTTCTGCAGGAACAGCACGTTGATGGCTTCCGACTTGGCACATCCATTGGCATTCTCATCGAAAGACTTTGTCTTACCATCTTGACACAGATTCATGATCCTGGAAGTGAAACAAATATTTTACACCATGCCTTATATAATAATTTTCAAAACCAGTCGCAAATTCAGTCTTAATACCATCGTTAAGAAAAATTAAAGTAGATATGAAAGTTTGAATTAACGTTGTGATGGAGTTTTGTCCATTTGCACAAATGGTCAATGCGGTTTTCTTTGAGAAATGTAATTTCTATCAACAAAATAAAAACTATAATAATTAGGGGAAGTACCTTCCGTAATGCACAGAAGACTGTGGGTGCAGACACAAGTAGGCACCTCCAACGATAGCAGCCTCACAGTCGCCACGGCTCATGGCGAGGTAGGCCTGCTCTAGCGCGGCAGTGGAGCTGCAGCATGCCTCGTCAATCGACATCGACGGGCCCTTCGCGTTCAGCCAGTAAGAAATACGATTGGCGAACATAGTTTTACTGCAACTGTAGGGGAAACGTTTATTAGTATGACGTAGCAATATTCGTAGCCGTAGCACGTTTTAGTCCTATCTCGTAGCCAGTTTCGTAGCATTTGTATTGTCAATTTATATCAGTGTACAATGCAAAAATGTGTTTCTTATCATTGGTAAACGAATCGACAAGTACATCGAGAAGTAGCAGTATTATTGTTTTAGGTGATTATAAATGATTGTCACTAACCCGGCGATACCAAATCCGGATCGGGAGGCGGCTTCGTAGAAACAAGCCTTCTCAGCTTCAGAGAAGCACGTGCCGATGTACACACCAACCTTCTTACCGGACAAATCATCCGGGTTTATTCCTAGGTAGACAAATTATACAGATGTTCATATTATTCTAAAACTTTATGTGAAACTTAGGGATTATTTCTCGAACGCTCGCATATATTACAATGTAAATATACTATCTGCCTCGTTGGCCGAGTGGTCGCAGGTTCGACTCCCAGGTCAGGCAAAGTATTACTGAGATTAAAAAAAAAATTCAGTAGTAGCACGGAGTCTGGAAATGTGCCCGGTATATGGCAATAGGCTCACCCACTATTACATGGGACTCGTAACATAAATAGTGAAAAATGGGTGTTACATTGTACAGTGGCATTAAGTGCCGTAATGTGCACCTCTGACTACCCCTTCGGGGATAAAAAGGCGTGATGTTATGTTATGTAAATATACATTACATTACTAACTATGGAATGTAATGCCGCACCAAATTCATTATTATCTTAGGGCTAAATTGTAATTAATTAAGCTAATTACACAATTCGAAACTAATGAAAAGTGGCTCCATGCCATTAGCGATCTTTTGTCTAATGCGTTCAAAATAAACCAATTATGTTGTGATATATTAGCGACCAATCAACGAAGACTACGTCGCTGGCGTATACGTATATAACGTATATTCATAGAGACTGATAAGTCCCACTCGGTCTTCAATAAGCAAAAATTTTAATTATTTTCGTTTTTTTAATAACTACCATAAATTAAATATTAAACAGTACACTTTTACTAACCAGCATCGTAGATAGCCTGATATGACTGCTCCAAGATCTTACGAGCCATAGGGTCCATGCAGTTGGCGAGACGGTAGTGCACCTTGAAGAACTGGGCATCAAACTGACTAAGTCCTGGTACGGTGCCCGAGTGTTGCACCACTTCAGGGTGACTGAACTTGAAACGCAATGCTTTTTCTGACACAGGGTTGATCTATGTGAGACAAAAATGCAATTACATACTTTGTACCTACTTTTACACTTCTAAATCATATCCTTAAACTGACAGTTTGGCGCAAAACCTGGTGACTGTTCTACGTAATTTGGGACATTTTTTTAAGCAAGTAACGCCTTGTTTCGCGCCATTATGGAAGATTTTTGTCAGCTTCTGTAAGCCTTGGGTAAAAACTTGTTTTTATAAAAGTGCTTTAAACTGTCAAACACCAAGCGGTCACCGGTAACCGCAACCTATTGTTCTATAATTGTGTCTACAAAACCGGTACTCGACGAGTTAAGGTCAATGACTAAAGGGTCAGTGACAAAGGATGAACTTAGTTTGATAGATTTTGTTTTCTTTATGCTTTGTTGGGTTCGTTAACTCCATATTTACTACATACATATATAACTAGATTAACTTAACTTGGATATTCTGTTATTTTGTCGATAGACTTTAGATAGTAAACTGACAGGATTCGTAACGTAATAATAGTACTATGGAATTAAAGAAGCACTTATTTAACAAAAGTACTATTGTTCATGCTATTGTATAAAAATGGGCTTCAAATTAATTTTGACCATTATAGACAGTCATATAAAAAATGATGTTATATAACTAATTACCCGACTGAAGGAAGGTCGTTTCGAGGACTCTTGATGGATTTCGAGCCGCATCCTAACCCTAAATCACGAGTCATGAGTTCCCTTTGCGAAAACCATTATATAATATACCTTGTTGTACAAGATCTCGGACAAGTCGCTGACGCTGTGGGAGTCAGGGTAGAGCCCCGACATGCCGGAGATGACGATCCTCTCGCCTTCAAATACCGGTGCCGTGGAGATCTCCTCCTGCGTCGTGTGTTCCTGGGGTGTCGGCGTCATCTTTGTGGCCCGGTTGATTTTCTTTCTATATTTTCCAAAGAGAAAGTCAAGATTTTTTTTAAATAGAAGACTTAAAAACATTCACACCACTAAAACGGTAGTGGGTTTAATGTTCAATGCATCCCCTTACGGTACCCGTATAGGGATTATAATTATATAGAATTAATTTGTGGAACATTTTATCCAGTCTCAAAATGGATGGCGAATGCGTTTTTGGCACTTATTCATCACTTAGAGAGTAAAGAATGACCTCCATGAGAGGAGAGGCCTGCGGGCAACTGACCGGGGGAGTCAGACGTCCGCTATATAGGCGGGAGTAGGCGTTAGCGTAGTGTTCCACGCGCGCTACTCGAAGAAGGAAAGCAGCCTCCTTGGGCCGCTAAGGTGGCGGGACCTGCCGCAAACATAGCGGTAGGTCGAGGCCTGCCGGGTGTGGTGATTCCGTAAGGGCAACCCGGATCACGGTCACAGGCAGTGAAGGAACACCGCGGTGGTTTTAGCCGGTATGAGTCCGGCACGCCCCCTCGTCGTCCCCACGGCGCGGGAAGTTCATGAGGATTTCCATCGCGATAGAAAAAAAAAGAGAGTAAAGAATAAAACGGAGACTGGATCTACAAAATATTGGTGCAAAGTCTAACAAATGAAGATGGCTGCCATTCTTTTGTTTTATAATTACGCAATCGCCTTTTGACCACTTTGTTTCACATGTGTGACGTCACTCACTAAAGAACCGCTGTTATAATATTACATTCAAGTTCATTTTAAACGACTCGCATGATAAAAATAATATAATTTAAGTAGAATATATTTTGATACGGTTTTTACAATGTAAGGATCCGAATCACATTCTCTACATGCGGTAACTACTCACATACAAATCAAAGATGAGATTGAACTGTCACGTATTAAACTGTTAGTCAATCTTATGAGAAACTTCTATGGTGTATGTTAAATAGGTCCTAAATAAAATGATAAGATAATTTGCTTACCTTATTCAAAGATTTTGATATGGGCACACTAAATCTGACGGACGTACCAGCGTTGTGCGGGTACATGGACAATTAGCCTTATATATAAACATTGACTTGTATGTAAATTAATGACTTAATGATTTGAACTGGTCAGTTAGCGAATGGAATACATAACAAATTTTGTTTATGTAAAGTTCAATTGCTGAATGAGTAATTTATTTTATTAATATGTACGTTTTGTATTGTATGAGGCAATTCCACAATATTAACTGTATTTTATAACATGGAAGGAAAATAGCTGTAAATTGACACTATCCATGCACCATGGCTTCTTCATCCTTAGATAGATAGTACCTATAGGTAGATTAACTTGTTATGTGTATTTCTTTTTAACTTGTAGATTTTCCGAGCAAAGGTGTACCTAAGTAATACTTCGGGTTTACTAGAAGCAAAACTAAATGACAAAAAGGTCATTGCCATACAATAATTAGAAACTGAAAATAAAAAGAATCCCAGCTGGGAATTTAACAACATTATTTTTTTCAATGATTGTGTTAGATACCCATTTGTTAACTCTCTGTAAGAGCAGACAGTGACGCTATACATCAGTGACGATTTCGTACTCTATACTTTTTACTAGGAACTTTGGCACCGAAAAAGTGAATAATAATTAGCACTTTTGTTAAATATTTCTATACAGAATAAAATAACAACAGAAATGTCCGTTTGTTTATCCTTCTTTCATTCCATGTTAAACTGTCAAACACCAAGCGGTCACCGGTGACCGCAACCTATTGTGTCTACAAAACCGGTACTCGACGAGTTAAAGTAGAGAGACAGGAACGAGCTGAGTGAGAAGTGAGAAGATCTCATACAAACTGCGTAATCCTTGTCGGTCTATTGCTGTTGTCATTCACATCTATCCCGTGACCCTAATAATTAAAAAGCCAACCACTCTTGAATATAGGCAGTGGAGTACCTAGGTATAAATAAATGTATATAGGTATACTATTATTAAAACTTTACCGTTGTGACTAGTAATGTTCAGTGGTAGTGTAATGTTCTGTAACTTGATAGGTACTACACACTTTTGGAAAACTAATTTAATGAAATGATGAATTGACAAGTGTTTCAGTAGCCAAAGGAAGAAAAAAAAAAGACATAAGTGTTGGTGTACATAGCTTATAGTTACTTCTCCTTTACCTTGCAACCCAAACCGCGGGTAAAAACAAGAAAGTTTCCTTGTTAGTCTATAATGAAATCACGTGTCCATACTATGACCTGTCACCCAATAAGGAACGTCACTGAAGACTATTAATGAGTTCAAATTCATGCATTATAATTTGTTAGAATTAAATACTAAAAGAACCAATTCACAACGGCAACATAAGTATGTAGCGTAACCTATAAAATATGTCTTTATTTGTTTTGGTACTTTTTTATGGTTTAAACTTCGATAGTCAAGCGGTCATATATTTGTAAGCCAGGCGGGAGTGTTTCCCCCTTGATAAAAAAAAGCGGTCGACATGTTTGGTAAAGTGCAATGGCGGCTGGGTGGCTCTGTGCAATGTGTCACAGGTACAATTCTCGTATCGGGCTAAAAGTGCTACTTACTGGTTCTTTTTAGTAAAAATTAGGTACCATTAAATGCCCTTAGAAGCTGGAAATTTGGTGGTGCTTAGTCCCAGTCTCCGATTCAGTCTCTGTTGTTATACGTACACATCTGGGACAATCTTTAAATTAGTAGATTCAAAAATCTTACAATTTGTTTATTAAAAAATGTGAAATTATCATTAGAGTTCGTGTACACGACGCTTGCCTCCGCCGCGCCGCCATCGCACCGCAATGTTACGTACACGAAACGTCGGCAACGAACCGTCTCGCCGTCGGTCGCGTCGCCGCACCTCCAACGCGCCATAAACAGCAGCGTGGCGCGACGGCGCCGGCTTCGGCGGTGCGGCGTCGCCTACACTAGTCCTTAGTGAGTTGGGGAAGGTAGGTAGGTACCTATGACAGTAGCTCTTTATAAATTATGAACATTTAACCAAATCTGCTTAATAGTGAGTCAGTCTTCGTGTCAACCCTAAAAACTATTGGTGGAGAGAGAGGCCGGGAGAAGGCAACGCACTTGTAATTTGTCAGGTGTTGACTTAAGCTATTAGAGGAATACTATTATACTTAAGCTATGGGGACTGCTGACCATCGGCAGTCCCTTAATTTTGTTGCTAATAGTACGGTATGAAAATAAAACTATAAACTTGCGGTTCTGCCCCGATTTCTAATTTACATAAATGGACATCGTATCGTATGCGTAATTTTATGTGCATTATGTACCTATTGGAAGAACGATAAGAGTGTGTAAAGTAGCTAAAGAGATTTGCACACGGCCTACCTGATGGTAGGCGGTTACCGTGGCCTATGTACGCCTGCAACACCTGGGGCATTACATGCGTCTTAAAAAAACATTTTTTTTTATTATTTCATTATCCATTAAACATCGAAATTCATCTCCACCTAGCTACTTCTGTGCGGTTTCACTAGGTTCGCATCCTATTGATCAGGCTTCCTTGATACATGACTATACGGCCCTGAGGATACAGTGAAACACACAGTAGCGGAATGCCTTGCGTGAGTTGAGCACCGCCGTGCCCTCAGGGATGTGATCGGCGACGGCGACGTCTCGCTTCCGGCCCTAGTCTGGGCCATGATGCGGGGCGAGGGGACTGAGATGCCGTCTCCTCCTTTTGCGAAGCATTTATGCTAGCTAAGGAGGATGCAGGGCGCGTGAGGCAGCGAATTGTTGCCTCCTCACAACCCAGCCGTCGCGAAGAATACTCCGGGCGTCGGGGATCGCGGGGCGACCTCCGGCCACCGTAAGCGCGGGTCTGCGGACGGCGAGCCCGGGTAGCTCGCCGCCCGACCAGTACCCGAGCGTGCGGCGGATCGCGTTCCGATGGGACCCAATAGGGCTGACGCCGATACGGACCCACAGAGAACCGAACGGGTTGCCGGGGCTTCGGCTCGAAGAGCAGAAGTAGGAACGGGGTGGTTTTAGTCAGTTAGAGTCTGATACTCCATCCCACGTTACCCAGGCGGGAGAAGCCACTCGATGATTTTCTCCGCTTAAAAAACACAAAACAACGCATCAATTCGAACCAGTTAGATCCGTAGATTAGCGCGTTCAAACGAAAAAAACATCTCTTTAGTTACAAGAACAGTACAGTTTTCTATAATATAAATATGAATTGCTAAATGTGTTTATAAGCGCAAATCTCAAGAGAACAGTTGAACTGATTTCGCTAAATCTTTTTTGTTAGGTTTGTTAATTTTTAGGAGAAGATTCTTGTGTAAGAAAAAAAAATCATTTTATCATAATTTATATTAAATTGTCATCGTTATGAGGAGGAATGGACCTAAATAATTATGTGTTTAATATAAAAATATGTGTAATAGTTGATATTTGGGTCTTGGTGAGTTTTGGGGGACTGGGTTTTTTCAAAAAATCTCAGTAGTAGCACGGAGTCTGGAAATGTGCCCGGTATATGGCAATTGGCTCTCTTGACAATGGCGTTAAGTGCCGTAACGTGCACCACTGCCTACTCCTTCGGTGATAAAAGGCGTGAAGTTATATGTAATATTTGACAGCCCACAATTAAATCAGCCATTACAACTCCTTCATGAAATTAGATCAATGGGGGCTACTGTATTTTTGATCACGAGATGGAGCAAATGTAGGAAGAGATCACAGCAGGTTGTCAAATATTGAACGTTCAATGAGGTGACACTAGTTAATTCCCTGTTGGACTAAGAACGAGATTTTGATTGCATACGTAGATTGTTACAGGCTGACCCAGTGTTAAAAAAGGGGTTATAAATAGAAATGGTTTTTCTGAAGTAACTGTCGCCTGTCATTTAAGTTTTATAAAACAATGGCAAGGTCTCGGTCGTTTACATTAGCTCAGTGACGTAGAAACGGTAATTTTTATTCAAAACATGTAATTGCTGATCGTATGCTTCTATGTAATCTTTTGGTTTTACATGTTACAACGAAATAACATTCAGATATGTAGGGACTAAAGTACATAATAAGTACACGTCGAAAAATAAGTGAGAAGAGTACAATTTTACAATTTAATTATACGCCATAACCCAATAGTATTCGGAAAGGAGATTTTTTAATATTAAATTAAATTTGTAAGCATAATCGACAACGGTGACATTTGCGAGAATTTGAACAAAATTATGCTTAATTAGAAATGAGGAGATCCGCTACCGACCTAAAGTCGCTGAAATAGCCCGGCGGTAAGATGAATCTGATGGGAAGGTTCTCGACTGGAGGCCAGGTCGCGTGACGGCTAGGGCAGTGCAGGATGTCCACGGATGACCTAGTTAAGGTCGCAGGTAGCCGTTGCCTGCCTGTCTGGGAGTCAAGGGAGAGAGTTTATTCAGCAGTGGGCGTTTTGTGGCTGTGATGATGATTACTGCTCTGCTCAATATGAGTTATATCCCATCAAAAACAATACTTGTCAAAAAACAAAGTCTCGCAACTTAGTTGTTTTGCGGTAAAAAGTTGTGAGATCCATGTAATACCAAGTCGGTTATTAATTTATTCAGTCTCTACTTAAGCGACTTTCTGTCTCAAAACGTCCAGTCTCTAAGACCACGATCGTGGTCCATAATAATGGAAAATCAATTGTGTTTGGAATCTCCGTACTCGAAGCATTGAGCTGTTACGTAATAATCGTAATAAAACAGCATCTTATAGTGACGCATATCAATATTAAAATTCTTTAATGTTTTTTCTAAATTGGGCCATCGCCTGAAAACACATGTAAATTCAATTATAGAGTGCGAAAAGAATGGCCGTGGCGCTTTTTTACTCGACTTGGTCGCACTCCCGTGCCCCCAAATACGCCTATGAAATGTCAGATTTAGTAACCTCGTTTCATTATCTTTAGCCATGTGCTTTGACAATTGAGACAAATGTCATGACTGTGTCAGATGTGTGTGTCTGCGTTTTTCTAAAGAGACGACTTCTTTTTTAAATGTGACCTCGCACGAGGTTTTTCTCCTGTGTGTATATATATGTAGCTTAGTACGAACCATAACGGACGACGAGCGTTATCGAAGTACTCGACCCTCTCAGAGAGGCTTATCTTCTTTTGTTCTTCATTTGTTTGTTGTTGTTGTTGCCAGATTTTTCGTTGTGTATTTTTTTATTATTTTACACCGATTGCTATTAATAGTTTTAATTATATCTACTTGGAAGTAAGTTAACAAGTGTTGAAATTATCTTTGACGTTTCAAAGGTGAGGACTAGTTGAAATAAATTCTTTGACTTTAAAAATGCAAAAATATACGTTTTTAATTGGACTATAAACACTATAAAAATATTTCTTCTCTATTTTAAAATCGGTGTAAAATTTTTAAAAGGATATTTGTAGTAATTTTTTTAAATATAGTCGTACGGACGATACTCGCACCTTGAATATATTTTTATGCAATTAAAAAATGTTATGAAATCAAGTCGATATAGATAAGTAAGAAGTCGAAGTAAATGTAACTGTAGGTAAGTAGTTGGTACGTAACACTAAGCGCCTGCTATATTTTCGTAATGTTTTATTTAAAAAGGTAAATTGCTAAGTTTGGTTGTTAAGGGTGTATATATTATTATACATATGTATATCTAAAACTAAAAGAACTAATGTTTAATAAGTTAATATGGCTAAACTTGCCAAAATTAGTTCGCCTCACAGTTAATCCACTCAAATAAAAAATACCGATGTATATTTAGGTATTCTGAGAGTGAGTTATTTGAGTACTTTAGATATAAGACCTATGTAAATGTTATATTACAACAATGTTGTTTATATTTACGTCTTTGATCTCAATAATAAAACAATAATATTATAATTAATAAAAGAAAGAGAAAACTACTTAAAATATTAAAGTATAAAATTACACTAATGCTGAATGCATCGAATTAGATTTCTGTCCAGCCACATCACTAACTAACTAACTGCTCTAGCGCAGCAGTGGAGCTGCAGCACGCCTCGTCAATCGACATCGACGGGCCCTTCGTAACGGGCCTATATGTAACTATGTTATATATATAACATAGTTTTATGTAGTAGTAGTATGGGCATAGAATAATTGCCTTTCAATTACAGAATGCTTTTTAAATCTGTTAAATTCGAAGTTGTAAAAGTTTGAAAATGAATAATTATATTATCATAGACAAGATCTTGGTGTTATGTATTTCAATTATTTATCAAAACCGAACCACAGTATCGTCGAAATATATAATATAGTTATACAATAACTAAATAATACTGTTCATCTATTGAATGCTCCATAACGTCACAACAAAACTTTTTACATATATTTCATTTGTTATTCACGTATTCAATTATTTTGAATATTTCATATAAATAATTTAAAGTTCAAATCAAAGTAAAGTGTATCAGCTCCTCCACTATTATATATTGAGTGAGTTACGTGTATTAGAGTATATAAGTTGTATGAAATTTCTCCTCATAACGTTCATACGGATGAAATAAGTGGGAACAAAAAATATAAAATAATTGATTTATTTTCTATTCGCCAAAAGTCTTAGTGAGTTTGTCAACAATGATCCGCATTCTCTCTGAGAAGTATTGATCAATCTGTCCTAACACTCTCACAACATGCAGCATCTTCTGGACACCCTTCTTGAACCTCTCCATCCTCTCTGCACTGGAATCTACTTTCATCACCGACGTTGGAAGCGTCGAAGGTCCTATCCTGGGAGGCGAGAAAGGCCCACGCCACTCCTTGAGTCTAGGTTCATTAAATGTTCCTGGGATTCTCAACTTTGGTATTCGCCTTAAGTTTTCCATGAAGTCCGGTGGTGGTGCTATAGATATCGGTACTTGTGTGTCACTATATCCAATCTGGTCTTCGGGTTCGATAAGAAGGAATTTCCCGCCTTGGATCGATTTTGGGAAGACATTGTGAATGAGGTTGCAGAATGAGTTTACGTCTAAGCGAGAGTTGCCTTTGGAGTCAGATGACCTGTATTTGGACCCGTATGAAACCTGGAACACAATTATTTGTTTGATTAAAACATTTGAAGGCTCTGAATGAACACATTTAAATAAATGAATTGTTTTGAGCATTGACTGAATTGGAGGAAAGAAACTAAAGGCGAGGAATTAATCAAATTGACGGGAAAAACTACTGTACAAAGATAAAGAAAGTATTGTGTTTGTTAGCATATCTATTTATCTTCCCATTCTCAACAAGAATGTTTGTAAAGTTAATAATAAGTAGTTTCCTTTTATTTTTTCATATTATGGGAAAGTAGTCCTCGCGAAGTAAAGCTTAATCGAACTCTATATCATTGTAGCATATACATATAATTATTGACTTTGAATTTTACCTTACCCTTTCATCAGAGCAGTCGATAGTCAAGCGAGGGGGCTGCGGAGCGCTGGATACGTAATTTAGCTGAAATGGACATAATTTAATTAGACTTGGCGCTAAAATTTTACATATTTAATTTACTAAAACTAATTTAATTGTTTATGGTAAAATGATGAGACATTGAAGTCTGTTCGATTTAATCGGAATTCTCTTATAGAATGTAAGTAAGCACGTAAAATATAAATAGGTTCCTCTATTACATGGTACTTATAACTTCATGATTTTCGTCAACAGTACATGACAGTCTACTCCTGGACTATAAGGCTCCTCAACGAAAGTGATGTTTGTTCGGAAAATCGAAGTTTAAAAAGAACAGGGTTATCAGAGAAGCCCGCAACTAATCTCTGTTAAATATGCAGTCTTATTCGGTGAAAGTAGGTGTTACTGGCTAGTTAGAAAAATACAAATAAAATTGTGAAATCCAACCACTGCACTAGTCGACCACGGCGTCACAGAAAACCGGCGTGAAATACAGCTTGCGTTGTGTTAAGACGTGCGAATGAGGTTAAGGGCCGGTAACGCATTTGTTACTTCTTCGGGTCTCCACAGGCGACGCGGATTGCTTACCATCAGGTTATCCGTCAGCTGGTTTGCCACACTATCTCAATAAAAACACACTGAATACGAACCACCACTAGCAACCATACGAATGCTTCAGCCACGTACCACATCGTCTCGTGCACACATTCACGACATTTTAGCGTCTAAATGAAACTGCCATTCGTCACGTTTGCAGAGGCGCTCGCGATTTTAGCAGAGTCAGCGAAATTTGTGACTGCAACAGAGTGACCAACATGTCGTGGGGATTTTTCGAATCAGTTAAATAATGATTTTATTGTTATTGTTGCTATTCTGAACCTAGATGTCTGTTATTTTGTGATAGATGGTGGTATACCTACTGTAATTTATCACTCACAGACCAGGAATACTGGGATCACACCAATATTTTTTGTGAGCAAATCCTATCCGAGAATTTTTTGTAAGAAGCTAGTCAGTAATAAAATATTTTATTCTTATTAACATTACTTTTGACCACAGCATAGAAGGAAAAAGAAATAGCCCACTATCAAAATAAGAAGAAATAACATATCATAACATCACGCCTTTTTTCCCCGAAGGGGTAGGCAGAAGTGCACAATAAGGCACTTAATGCCACTGTAAAATTTATGTTATGAGTCGTCCCATATAATAGGGAGTGAGCCTATTGCCATATACCTGGTACAAATCCAGAGCCCGTGCTACAACTGAGATTTAAAAAAAAACCAGTAATACTTTGCCCGACCCGGGAATCGAACCCGAGACCCCTTGCCCAGCAGTCGTACTTGCGATCTCGCGCCCAACGAGGTAGTAAGAAGAAAAAATAATCAATAGAATTAATGTTTAATTATCCGTGTTAATCTGTGGTCGCACTAGTATCTGTAAGATTCATTACTTCAAGGTCACAATGCATTAATCATAAAGAATCTAATTGTCGGTAGCATCGTATCATCTTATCAACAGTTACGTGTCTGTCCGCACAGTTCAAGAGGTGGACCAAGGAGGTGTATAAGGGTGTCCCACAGATAAGAGTCACCATGCATTGGGTGTACAGCAGTTGTTATGCCTGCAGTCTAGTCGTGTACCTCGCTGTAAAGATATATTACGAAAATGAAGTTAAGAAACTATCTCTGGTGTGCAGTGATCCTTGTACTGGTAGTGACTGCGGTAGAGGTATGATAGTCTTTATTCTTATTGCACATGTGCAAACTTTACATTACCGTTTTGTAATAAAGACGACCTTGTTGTGAAAATTCTGATGACAGCATAAAATTTAATTTGGTGCAATCATTTGGAAGTTGTACAATGCCCTTGTTACTTGTTATATATACATATTTCAACGACGACTGTTTGCTATAGGTACTACAGATAATAATATTTTGTTATGTGATGTCCGACTACCTCATTGCTTGAGTAATGTGTCTCCGGTCGTATTAGTCTGCTGGTCTATCGGGTTTAGAAAATAAGGAACCACAGAGTGCACTTGTGTTTGCAAACACACTTGTGCACTGTGATATCTCCTGCGTAATGGACTAGTCTAGTTAGATTTGCCTCTATGATCGAAATCGATGGGCAGAGTTTCTAGTATGACTATTGCGCATGTTTCGCCAATGATACCAGTAACATAAATGTAACAATGACTGGGCAATGTGTAAAATTTCAATCCTAGATCCTAGATATTATGTTCATATGTAAAATAAAACTTGTGCGCACCTAGAGTAAAAGTAATGTTTACGTAAAATAAATAAAAAGTTATCGTGACATTACAGTTTGATTACAAAAAGGCACGTTCAATGTGAATGCTATAAATTGATATGAGTTACTATTTAACAAATCGCCCACTTATTTATTTATTTTGTTTTATGACTTTTAATACCACGTAGTTAGAAACTATTAATAATAGAACAATAATAATCTTATTTTTGTATGCACCTAATGATAATGTGTTTAAATTACAGAGCAGCAGTTTCCTAAAAGATTCGCTGCTGCGTCCTCGTCGGTCGGAGATCTGCTTTGGCTGCCGCGCGGAGGACCGGCCCTTCGCGTACCCTCTCATACAATACCTCACGAAGGCCAAGGACATGTTTGTAAGAGGATTTAATTCCCTCGTTGACAAATTCAAGACAGCCAAACTGAAATAATTATAATTTGTAGGTACTAAATATAAGTATTTATTGATATCTGTATTTTAAAAGTAAATAAACTTTTTTATCATTTGTTTCTTCGTGTTTTTGTTATTGTTTATTAAAGTGTAGTTTTATATATTGCAAGATTGTAATACTGTAGCGTAGAACATATTTAATCACTGACCAACAGAAGTATTAAAAAAGTTAATTTAATACATTTAAATTTAAATAAAAAACCTACTGAACATTCTGATGTTTAAAAAAAATAATTCAATGCTATTTTAACAGTTGTACAGGCCTCAAATTCGTATCTAGATACCTATGCCACTCAATAGGAAGACGTAAATCGCCATATGGATGTGCCTCAAGTGGCTTTTTAGTGTTGGTTTATTTAGGTCACCCAATACCCCTCTCCATCAAAATAGGCATCTACATCAATGTCCACTTCATAGAACACAAGAATCCGCTGTACACAATATACAACATTAAAAGAAGCCAAAATATATGCAATAATTTATTCAGTAAATTAAATAAACTAATGTAAAGTAAACATACATCTAACAAATACAAATAACAAAGTTACTCTGTATTACCAGAAAACACTCGCTTTCCAATATTAATTTAGTACTAAATTTATTTCTTTAGAAGCAAATACTTGAATTTAAGATACTCTTCCGTAGTTAACGCTCCTCGTTGCCTCAGCCTAATCAGTTTTTCGAGGACGCCTGGTTCAGCTTTGTCCCAATCAAAGATGTTGGGCATTGTAGTCAACGGAGGTTTTATGGGACCCGGGGGAGGTAGGGGAACCAAGCTCGGGAATATAGGAAGGAGTGGAGTTTTCGGAATCCAAGGTAGAATATAAGGTACGAGGGAAAGCTTTGGAACTGAAAATAAGGATCGTCGATGTTTTCTTGATGGTTGCTGTTTGGTTATAATAGAGCGCTTTGTTGGCGGTTTGGCGTGTAGTGAGTTTAAGAGATCCCTGGTAAGAGATGTGTCTTCAGATCTGATGTTGATGTAAACTGGGGAGATCTGTGAGAATTTCTTGATGACCAACGGAGGAACACGTCTCAGTTCGCCTGTTACAAATTCTACTCTAAAACTGTGTGATGATGAAATCTGTAAAAAAAAAACGAAATGAGATTATTTTCAATACCTATTTAGATCTTAAGATTTTTATTGGATACTAAAAGTTTTGAGTTGGAGTTTTCAGTATAAAATAAAATCACTCTAGTATATGTATGTAGAGAGTGACAGAACATATTTATTATGAGTATTTCTCTGAGTAATTGGTTGTAACAACCAGTTGGGTTTTTTCACATGCATATAAACTCGTTCTATATTAAGGCCTACGTTCAGCAGTGGACGTCCTATGGCTTAGATGATGATGGTGATGATATTTTAAACTCGAACTACAAAACTTAAATTCGTGGTTGTGCTACATACATATAACACTAGGTAATTCACAGTTTAAACAATATGTTTTGTCTTATTTTAATTTACTAAGCAAACCGTCACACACGCACATCCAAAGAAGCACTTTCTTAGTCCAAGAGCATTTGAAATGCGTAAATACTTACAAGTACAGCTAAGATCACTACAAATATTCTCTGAACACTATGCTCTCTCCTTCCGACCATTCTGTTTCAGTAACCGATTAACAAAAACTTCGCAACCATTTCCACGCATCTTTATATAATGACAGTTGTTTGTATACATCATTGTGTTACAATCTCATCAATGTAATAAGATTAAACACGTAATACTATTGTTTGTAACAACAAATAAATGATACGAAACAATAACAAACAAATATTATATGATGGGCATCTGTCACTCACGTTACCTTTTCGTTAAATGAGTAAGTGCCTATATAACGTACTCATTTTACTTTCTGTAAAATAGAAAGAACTAATCTCATATTTACCTAATACTAAACTTAATCATACTTCTACCACCCCGTTAAACTTCTGTGGAAGTAATGTCTTAGATTAAACTAGCTTTGCTGGAGTGTTTGTATGTTATTTTTTTATGGGATAAGCCGGTGAACGAGCAGTTGGATCACCTGATGGTAGGCTATCGGCGTCGCCCATGGACACCTGGAACACTAAAGGCGTTACAAGTGCGATACCGGCCTTTTGGGGATTCGAAGTTAAAGAATTGTTGGGGTTTCAGGGATTGGGGAGATTGGGGAAGGGGGGCGGCTAATTGGGCCTCCGATAACCTCGCTCACACGAAGGAAACACAATGCCAGCGTTGCTTCACGTCGGGTTTCTGTGAGGTCGTGGTACTACTCTGGTCGAGCCGGCCCATTCGTGCCGAAGTATGGTTCTGCCACACATAAAATGGTTGTTATTAGTAATCAGCTTATTTATATAAGTATCATATACATCATTACGGTTATTTCAAGTTTCACCACCAATGCCATATTTCCTAGTAGGATAAAAAATGAGCCCACTCTGAATAAAATACTCCAAAGGGATGGAAAATTACAAAATTATCATTAATATTCATTCGAGTTCATACTCGATATCGATATCTACTATTTTTGCCAAGGACTAAATCCAAGATTGTGACCGCTCGGTCCTGGAACTCCTACTGCTTAGTCATAGAAACAAAATATATGATTATTTCTAAACTTACACAACCCAAATCAAACTCGTTTATTACAAAACCAGACAATTGTTACTCATTATAACATAACAATTACATATTGAAATGATATCATATGGCGATAAGAAGCTCCTAGTTAGCTATCACCACGTCCGATCTTATCCAATGGAAGGATTCTAATTGCGAAATTTTCTTTTTCATATTGACGTAAAACCTAGATAGTATTTCTAACGATAACCACGTAATATTGATGTCAAAAGCAACGCTTTAAATACGAATAGAATTATATTTTCTGAACCATAAATTACTTTGGAATAGTTTTGTGAACTTCCCAAGATGGGGGGTCAACAAATCTTTTGGTCCTCCATAGGACTTGTTTTAATTTCGTCCTGCTACATCATGGCCTGCGACGAGAAAGGACTTTGCTTGGTACGTTTTCTTTTAGTTGCTTGCATTTATTACATCATTTTTTAACGTAATTTATTCCTAGACTTCAAAGACTTCAATCAACCTATCAATCTACAGAAGCACGAGACAAATTATTAGTATAATAATATCATTACTCCAATTCCACAAAATTAATTCAGAATCTCAAAAGTTGAAGTCAAATCATTTAGAATCCCTACAACTGTGAAAGAATATGAAATTTATTAAAATTATAATAAAAGTTGCTAGTGAACAATATGTAATTTTAAATGTTCTTTTTACAGCTGGAAGTACTGAAAGAAATGAAAGAATCAAAGAAAGCAGAGTTGGCTTCGTAAGTAGACTGTCAAATTGTCTGAGTACATTTTCTATTAAGTACCTTATTGCAAGTCTAATTATCGTATTGAAATGTTTCAGGTTACTGAAGCCACTTCTTGCTACAAAATTGCTCGGTAAGTATTTTATTTGTATCCAATGTATCTACTATACTATCTTTTAGTGCAAAACTAACGTACATATCTGATCACAATAGTACTAATTCCCTGTCTTATTTACAGAAAAAGAAAAGAAGGCTTGTTGTAAGGAGCTGCCGCCGCCACCTCCTCCTACAATAATGCTGATGCCTGCACCTCCGCCGCCATGCGCTGCACCTGCCCCACCGTGTGCACCAGCCCTACCACCGATACTACTAGCGCCTCCTCCTCTTGCGCCGGCCTGTCTACCACCACCACCTCCACCTGCTCCTGCTCCACTCTGCTTACCTGCTCCTCCTCCAGCTCCGATATATATAACTGCGCCTCCGCCAGCTCCAGCTTGCTTACCAGCACCTCCTGCACCATTGATGCTGCCAGCGCCACCACCGTCACTGATGTTGCCGCCACCACCACCAGCGCCCATGTATCTTCCAGCTCCTCCGCCAGCCCCTCTTTGTCTGCCTCCAGCACCGGCAGCTGCTCCTGCTCCTCTAGTTATATCGCTGGTTCCACCGCCCCCACCGCCTCCCCCACCGTCCTGTCTTCCTCCCCCTCCTCCTTCTCCTCCAGGGTACCCTATGACGGCCTACATGGTCGCCCCACCGGTACCCATTACCTTGGAGCCAAAACCTCTGGAACTGCCGCCTCCGTGCCCGTGTTCCTACAAGAAATATTATTAATCTATTCACAATAATGTTCTAGTTTAGTTTTATTTATTTCCCGTTTACATAAATAAACCCACTGGCTCGTAGAAATGTTTGTTTTATTCATTGATTCACGAAGGTGCTCGTTATAGTACCGCGTACCTAGTAATTTGCATGAACCCTGCTATTTGGCGAATACACGCCCAAATTGTTATGGCTGAATTTTATATGCAACTGTACAGACAAAACAATAAACATCAGATTTATAAGTTACATTAATGAATATCAAAGGTTTTGTTGATTTCAGTTTCTGTCATTTGTAAATCATTGATTCTGTCATAGTTCTTTCTAGTGCCTAGAAACTAATCAACCTACTTAATTCTTACTTGCAAAAAGAAAAATTATGAGATTGTTTAAGAATATATTAAAGATTGTAAGCATAAAGTTACATATTAACAGCACTTAATAAGTTTAGACAATAAGACACATTAATTCCAAAAATATGAGATTACAACAATCCAACAGTAAATAATAATGTTCGCGACTGTCCCACAAACAAAGCAAGCAATATAAATTGATTTTCCTTCGAACCGCTAACTGTTAATTTTATTCAACTGGAAAGATGGCTAGTACTATGTTAGCTCAAGTAATAGTAGATTTTTTTAAACACAAAGTCGTCAGCAGCATTATAATACTGGCATGTTGGCCTCCCTTAGGTAAATAAATTGATTAAAATACATAATTATTCGTTTCACCAAAACAATCGTAATGCATGTCAAGATTAATTTCCTAAAATAATTAAACACATAATAATAATATATTCACCATAGAGTTTGCATATTGTTTACTTTATACTGGCTAGTAAGAAACAATATTTGCGGTCAATGCAACCATTACATTAAAAAAATAAAGACCCATTAAATTGCGTCGCATTTGTTTTCTGCATTAATTTTTCGCTAACATTTTTTTCATTAGTGCGTAATTTAATATTTAATATTAAAACAATATTTATCAAAATACAGAAAACAAGTTTTTAGAAGTTTGTGTGAAAAATAAAATAATAAAGCATTGTAAAAAAAAATAGGTCGCGTTACGATATAAAAAAAATAGAATTGATTTTCATATCAGTTTTAACAATACACCGCGCGATTTATAAGTTTTTATAATAAGAATAAATAGCGTTTGATTTGTAACGTTTTGTGTATATCACAAATACATAACTAGATGAACCTTTACGAATCAAGATGTAGCAAAGGTGAGTCATTGACAAAGCACTCGATATTAAACTCTATTTTAGATCAAATAAAGTTCACTCGGGAACTATCACAGTTTGGGATGAGCAGTACGTTCTCCTGCGACCCATCAATTCTTGACCATATACGCCACCACTACTTACAAGGAGTTATCTACATGACACACGAACATGATGACATGCCGATATTTAAAAAGGTAATTAAAGAAACATTATTATAATATAACACATATTATTTATCGAAAGGATGGGCTGTTTTGTGTATCTATATATTATTACATCCAGTTACGTTATGAATCCCATTATGTATGACATTTTTTAAGGGGGAAAGTCATCGAATGACTGCTCCCGCCTAGGTGAGGCGGGAGGGAGTGTCAGACTCTTACTGACTAGAAACCACCCCGTTCCTTCTCCGCTCCTTCAGCCGGAGCCCCGGTAACCCGTTAGGTTCTCTGCGACATTATGTATGACATAACATAACAGAACATAACATCACGCCTTTTATCCCCGAATGGGTAGGCAGAGGTGCACATTACGGCATCTATGCCACAATACAATGTAACACCCACTTTTCACTATTTATGTTATGAGTCCCATATAATAGGGGGTGAGCCTATTGCCATAATGTCGTGCACTTTTCCAGACTCCGTGCTACGACTGAGAATATTTTTCAATCCAACGTCGCAGTCATTATGTATTATATAGATGAGTGAAAATAGATATGAGTGCGTCTGTTGCCATTCATAGAATCACATAACAGGATTTCTGACTCGTAGCTACAACCATCTAATAAGATTTTTCGGAAATCAGAAAGTCGATATAACTGTTTACTGTACAGCGTGTCACGTGTTGGAATCCCACAAGGAGGTCGCGGAGAACCTAACGGGTAACCGGGGCTCCGACTCGACGTGCAGAAGAAGGAACGGGGTGGTTTTTAGTCAGTAAGAGTCTGACACTCCCTCCCGCCTCATCCAGGCGGGAGCAGTCATTCGATGATTTTCCCCAATTAAAAAAAAATCCCACAAGGAACATTTCGTCTTTTGACCCACCATTTTTATTAGCTTATTTTATTTTATTAAATACTACTTGGTGACAGACAATGACTGTAATATTACTAAGTAGATGACCAAATAACAATAAGTTTTTTTCGTATTCAGATAAAACCGATACATTTTATGATGAAGTACAAATGGCTGATTGTTGGCGATCACGTTCCTGATGTGTTGCGTAAGATTCGATATGATTCTGACGTGGCCTTCCTCGAATGCAATTCTGTAATGAGTAATGGAACAAGAGATATTACAGGTTAGAAAAAATTACATACTAAATAAAGATACTTAACCGACGAGCATGCATGAAAAGACTGATGACTGTTGAGGAAGCGAAAGAGGTAACAGTAACACTTTTCCTGACTCGGGAATTGATCCCGAGACCCTTGCCCGGCACTCGCACTTGCGCCCACTCGGCCAATGACTGACAAAACAAATTGTTTTATTATTTCTATCTTTTATTTATTTTCCACTAGCCGCCCCGGCTTCGCACGGGTGCAATATGCATGTATCATACATATACGTAAACCTTCCTTAAGAATCACTCTATCTATTAAAAATATTCGCATCAAAATCTGTTGCGTAGTTTTAAACCATCATACAAGCATACATAGGGACAGACAGGCGGCGGTAATACTTGTTTTTTCATTTACTTTTTAATGTTTAATAATACATTATAA